AGCCTCTTGGGGGCATCTCGGGAGCTTGTTGGGGCCTCTTGGCAGCGTCCTGGAGGCCTCTGGGAGGGTCTTGAGGGCATTTTGGGAGCTACACACCCCAAGACAAGGCCCCACGAGCCTCTCTTAGGGCCGTCCTTGGGGCCCTCGGGCGGCTCTCTTGGGTGGTTCGGCGTTCCGTGGACCGTCTCGGGACCCTCTTGAGCTGTCGTGGGGTCCTCTGGAGCCGTTTTGGGACACCCTCCGGCGCCTCCTGGGCAGTCTTAGACTCTGCAAATGCCGAAACAGCGCAAATGGTATAAATAAATACATACACGTACCTACATGTATGTGTATATACATACATAAATTCGCCGGCCCAACGGGCCAGGGCGTGCTAAGATCTCCGGTAACTGGTTAACAGTATTAACAGTATTTCTAGTTCGCGCGCGCGGGGCGGCCCCTGGGGGTCCCCCGGCGAAAAGTACCCCGACCAACGCCCGGTCGCCGCCCGACCGCCGCCCGACCGCCGCCCGACCAAGTCTACTCAGAGATGGTTTTCCTTCTGGGTGCGGCCTCTCAGGCTCCCCAGAGCGCGCTCAGAGTGCCCCAAGAGGCCCCCAAGACTGCCCAAGAGGCCCCCGAGACGCCCAAAGAGCGCTCGAAGACGCCGAAGATGACCCCAAGACGGCCCAAAAGGCCCCCAAGACAGCCCAAGAGGCCTCCAAGACGCCCCAAGAGCCTTCCAAGAGGCCTCCAAAGAGAGCCCCAAGAGGCCAAAATAGTTGATTTCCATTGTTTTTTTCTATGTTTTTTGTGTTCTGGCTTTTTCGGCCTCCGGACGCTCCAAGACGGCCCAAGAGGCCCCCAAGACCGCTCCAAGACGGCCCACGAAGCTCCCAAGACGGCGCCGAAACGACCCAAGAGAGCCCTCAAGACGGCCCAAGTGCCGCCCAAGACGGACCAAGAGGCCCCAAGACGGGCCCAAGAGGGACTCAGGAGGGATACCGAGAACTCAAAAATGGAGCCCTCCGTCCCAGAAGGCGCCCAGGAGGTCCCAAAGAGGCCCCAAGAGGCCTCCAAGAGGCCCCAAGATGTCGCCAAGAGGCCCCAGGAGACTCCCAGGAGGCCCAAAAGAAGCCCCAGAAGGCTTCAAACATGTCTCCCAGGCGCCCCCGAACGGCCTCTCAACAGACCCCAAGAGGCCCCCCAAAGAAGCATCTTGACGACGACTCTATTTCGCCCCATCGAGAGACGACCCCCAGGGAACTGCTTCACCATCAAAACTCCCCACGCAACGCGTCCGAACGACACCCGCCCCCAAGAGCGCAACATGGGCAACGAACACACAGACAAAAACCAACGATGCCATATCACGGGCCGGCGGAATGAGCGAAGCGATTCAATACATACATACATACATACATACATACATACATACATACAGACAGACAGACAGACAGACAGACAGACAGACAGACAGACAGACATGCATACATGCATACATACATGCATACATGCATACACGCATACATGCATACGTACGTACATGCATACATGCATATAGCAATATATAAACAACTATATACACGTATAAAACATACATACATACATACATACATACATGCATACTTACATATATACATACATGCATAGAAACATACATATATACATGCATGCATACAGACATACGTACATAAATGCATGCATGCGTGCGTGCATACATGCACGCATGCATGCATGCATGCATACAAATATACATACATCAATACATGCATACACACACTCATACATATATAAATGTATGTATACATACATACATGCATACATACATACATGCATACACGTATGCAGACATGCATACATATATATATATATCTGTTTATATACACAGACATACATACATACATGCATGCACACATACATACACACATGAATCCATACACACACAAATATGTGCATGCATGCATGCATACATACATACATCTAAGCATGTAACCATACATACATACATGCATACATGCATGCATTCGCACATACATACACGCCTATATATGTATACATGCGTATGTATGGATGTGTGAGAGTATGTATGTCTGTATGTATGTATGTATGTGTGTAATCATGGATGGATGGATGGATGGATGGGTGGATGTGCGTATGTGTGCATGTATGCATTCATGTGTGCATGCAAGTATGCATGTATGTAGTTAGGTAGGTATCTATGGATGTGTGCAAGCATGCATGTATGCATGCATGTATGTGTGTATGTATGTATGCGTGTATGCATGTGTATACATATACAATGTATAATTGTTTTACGCACCTCTTCCGAAGGGGAAGGGATAAGTTTGGCCTCCTGGTGCCCTCTCGGGGAGCCTCTTGGCGATTTTTGAAACCTTCTTGGAGCGTCTCGGAACGGTCGTGGGGCTCTGTCGGGGCGTCCTGGAAGCTTTTTGCCGGTCTGGAGGCCATCCTGAATGCTCTTGGGGCGCTTTCAGGCGGTCCCGGAGCCTCGGGGGCATCCAAGAGACCTGCCCCGGGGGGGAGGCCAGAATATACAGTGAAATCCCAACCTGGGGGCCCCGGGCAGGGATCTCCCATGTATGCATACGTTGATGACATGTGCAAATACTGTGATACATTCATACATTCATGCATGAATGCATGCCTGCAGACCTACCTACCTACCTACATACATACATACATACAAACATACATACGTACGTACATACATATACAATTAAATATACATATGCGTATACATATAAATGTACATACGCATGTACATAATTAAGAAAACATACACATACGTGTACACAATGCATGTGCATATACATGCAACTGTATGCATATATCTATACACATATATATACCCATATGCAGGTACATATACATAGACCTATAAATGTACACACAAATATATACATATACATATAAACATATGCATACACAGACATATACATATGCATAACGTAAATATGTATGTGTACACACACATGGTATACAATGCGTCCTTTTTGTGGCATGGGGTGCGCAAGGATATGGTAAAGATGTTCTGCGCCATGCGTATCGCCTGCCATGCCATGTACTACAAGATGCGGATGCTGCGCGATGCTGCTGACCATGCAAGTATGACGAGATGTCCACGAGAAGACATGGACTGCGAGGTTGTGTTTGGCTGTGCTGTGCGATACTCGACTGCGATATGGTAGCGCAGCGCTGAGACATGCGGTAAATTGTTCTGCGAAGCCATGCTACGCTATGCTATACGAGTATGTGGTGTGCCGCGCTTGGCTACCCAACACAATCCTGTGTGACACTATGGTGGACAGAGTTGCGCGCACATCAAAACATATATATATATATATATGCATATACATGCATAATTAACTGATGCCAGGGTATGCCATACAGTGCTACAACATGCAACCCGGCCACCTGTACGGTCGTATTGTATAAAGTGCTGGTATGGAGGTATATGATAGGCAATGCTATGATATGCATTGCTGTCCATGCATGACGCCTCATTGCAATGCACTGTGTTACATTGCGTTGCGCGTGCTTGGCGGCCTGGTGTCTCCGCCCGCGTTGCGTTGCAGGGCACTTGTCAACAGCCAAGTGTGCCCCGTGCCTGTTTCACCTCTTTCTTTTCTTCGCGTCCGAACGGCGTCTTCGGACGGCCCCAGGCGGAGTCCCAAACAAACAACACGTTTTCGTATTCCTTGTTTTGCCGATCGGCACGGGCTCTCGCACCCCCCCTCCCCCCCTCCATATGGAGTAGATCTTGGCTGTTTGGGGCGCTTGTTTTGAGCAGGCGGGGCATCCCCGCCCAAAATCGGCCTGGCACGAACCCATCCAGGTCCACGACCCCCAAAAAGTACCCGCCAGTGGCCAACGATACCAAAGGCTGCCCTACCCAAAATGGAACAAGAGACACATCTTCATGAACATAATTGAACTTTCGGAGCTCCACGCTGACTTCTTGGATCGGCGCTGGCCCTCCCCCCCCCTCTGGCGCGCAGAGCGCACCAGGGTTGGCGCAAGAGGCGCCGCCAGAGGGGGCCCAGCGCAGACCCAAGACATCAGCGCGGAGCTCCGAAAGTTTATGTGTATTCATAGTGTCTGATTCCACCGTGGCAGTGACGGCACTTCGCGCAGTCTGGGAAACATTCGGAGCCTTCCGACGCGTCGCACGTGGATCCTCGCACGGCCCCGCGACAGCCCACCGAACCTGAAGTTACTCCACAAAAGGCCCAGTACCCCCACGTGCCACGGGCGGCCCTTGCCTGAAGAACCCCTCCCTGGGTATATTGGGCTCCAGGATTAGCTCATGAATAGATCATCCCGTCGCACCCCCGAGCGTGTCGGCAGAGCGGGCCAAGCGGGCCGCCTGAGAATTCCCCACCATATATGAGCCAGAAGCTTGAAATATGCAACAAGTTTACAATTGGAGGACAGCTTCAAGGATGGAGGGCGGATCGTTTTCAACATTCGGCTATCGACCCAGCGAAGCGCACACTCGTCGTAAAAGTCTGTAGCAACTTGAAAGATGGAGGGCGGGTCGTTTCCAAAATTCGGCTCTCTCCTCAGCACCGCGCTCACTCGTGCTAAAGTTTAAACTAGGTGTTCAAGGATGCTGGTCGGACCGTTCTCGAATTTGGCTCCTGCCTTAGCATTGCACGCGTGTGCCTTAAGAGTCTGCAACAGCTTCAAGGATTCGTATGGCTGACGTCCAGGAACTGTGTTCTAGCACGTTTTAGGAGCGTCAGGGCGCAGCAGTCAGTTGGATTCGTGGCGTTGAAGTCCCAGGAATGGCAAGTTGATGCGATTGAGGATTCTCAAACGGTTGTCTTCCAACGGGGCACTTCCAGCAATGACAAATGACTTCTTCGAGGGACTTGTGAAGGGGGACCTTGCAGAAAGAGTTGATCGCAAGACCATTGATGCGTCTGGACTGGTCCTCCTCCTCCTCCTCCTCCTCCTCCGCCTCTGCGTCCTCCCTGCCCCCCCATGAACTACTGAATCCACCTCTTTCTCCTCTTCATCTTCCTCCTGCTCCTTCTCCTCCTCCCGTCCTGCACCTCCCTCCCATCCCGCCCCTTGCCGCCCACCTCCCCCCCATCCGACCTTGTGGCCCTTCATGGTAACGGCAGCGATGCCGCACCGCTGCAGCAGCCTCGCCCCCCGCCCGCCGGCCGCGGGGCGCAGCTGCAGGCAACGCTGGTTAAATGGCCTCTCCTCGGCGCGGGCTGGAGGAGGAGCAGGAGGAGAAATGAGGAGAGGAAGAGAAGCAGGAGGTGAAAGAAGGGGAAGAAGAAGTATACGAATGATCAGACGAGGGACATATATCTAAAGACTAAGAAGAAGAATCCAAAGACTAAGAAGAAGAATAATCCTCATAACATGAGTCAGACCATACAATTTTCAATACGACTATTAATCGACCGAATAGTCGGGAGTGGGAGGTGGATGAGGGGGACGGGGAGGACGGCGAGGGGGAAGGCTGTTTTCGATTGATATTTTCCGAGTAAGCGGCCAGCTGGCGTGATGTCGCACGGCTGACTCGCTCCTCAAACCTCGGCCATGGCCGAAGGGCTCATCCTCGCAAGCGCTGAACCCCAGACGAAACGGGAATGAGGAGGAGGAGGAGAGAAAGTCTGTTCCACGCGCGTCCTGCACCGCAAAGGCTGTGTCACAGCCCACTCGTTGGAGCCCGCGCGGTGCGAGGCAACTTCAGGCCAGACAGCGGGGGGGTCCGCATCAGAAGGCCTACTCAACCTAAACAAAAAAATGGCAAGAGCCTCGACGAGACCAAATCCGCAGCTCCTGGGGCCGCAGCAAAACGGAAAGTCCTCAGAAACAACAGGATAACCATCTTCGTGACGCCTTCCCCCCTGGATCTCGAAGAACGCTTTCGGTGTTGCCCCTGTAGGGGACTGCCTTACACGCGTACGGTGCCCCGACACACTCTTTGCGCGCGAGTGCACGCGTGCATCCAAGTAATGTCCCCAGGAAGCACAGGCCCGTCAGAGAAAGTACTCTGCTCGACCTCATCAGGCGCGTTCGCGTCGCTGCCCGCGCACTTCCAGATCGCGGGGCTGCGCCATCTTGGGCCGGCAATCGCTGCCCCCAGGGCGACGACTCCAGCCGCTGGTGGGGTCAGCGTGGTGCCCGCGACGGCTGGGCCGTCGCGCGCCGCAGCCGCTGCGGCGATCGCCCGCCCGGCCCTGGCTCGCGCACCCTTCGATTTGGACGCCCAACAACAAATGCCCAACAACAGATGCTGCCCAACGACCCAACGGAAAATGTTGCCCTAGGGGAAAAGGTTGCCCGACGGGAGCAAAACTTGTCCAACAACAAATGTTACCCTGCGGGATGAACGGGCACAAGGCCCAGCAACGAATGTTGTCCATAACCGACGGTGACCGCTGCTGGGCAGGCGGCCCTCTGTCTCCACCTGGACGACATCTGCGGCGACGCCGCCGGCAAGCCCTGCTCAATTTGGACCGGACACGCTGCCGATCTCTGTGCCCATCAGTTCCGTCCGCGTCTCGATCGTTCCGATCCGTGCGCGTCCACATGGACCGAGTTCCTCTGCGGCGCACTCCTGGTTCGGCCAAGAGGGGGGCGTCCAAGAGTGGGGGTCGCGGGGGGCCAGGGACCTCATGAAACGAGAAGAGGCGCCAGAAAATCTGGGGAAACATCATGGCCCACGCCATGATGTCCACCCCCCCCCTAGTCGTCACCCCCCTCCTTGCAGCCCCCGAGCACTGCGCGGTGGTCTTCCGCACGGCCGTGGCCTCCCGTGGGGCGGGCACGCAGGGCGCTCGGGAGCCCGCCCTGCCGCACTCCGCGCGCCCTGCGAGGGGGGGGCCCTCCGCCAGGGCGACCTCCCGGACTGGCGAGGGGGCCCCCAGGCGGGAAGGGGGCACGAGAGGAGGAGGGAGGTGGTGGAGGAAACGGGGGGGGGAACGGCACTAACAGCATATGTATATATATATATATATGTGTATATATACATATACCTATACATATACACGCCCCGCCCCCCAATCATCATCACCACCATTATCGTCAACATCACCACCCAAACCACCACAACCACCACCACCACCACCACCACCACCATCATCATCATCATCATCATCATCAGCAGCAGCAGCAGCAGCATCAGCATCAGCAGCAGCAGCAGCATCAGCATCAGCATCAGCATCATCATCATCATCATCATCATCATCATTATCATCATCATGATCATCATCATCATCATCATCATCATCATCATCATCATCATCACCGTCATCAACATCATCATCAGCATCATCATCGTCATCATCATCGTCATCATCATCATCAGTTCCGTCATCATCATAATCATCGCCACCGTCATCACCAGCAGCATCCTCATCATCACTACCACCATCACCATCACCACCATCATCATCACCACTGAGCCACTGGCAGCATCAGCATCACTACCATCCTCACCATCAGAATGCACATCTTTATCAGAATCATGATCGCCATCATCACCATCACAACTAAAATAACTACCACCATCATCCCCACCACCATCATCATCACCACCACCCTCGCAGTCATCCTTATCATCATCATCATCATCATCATCATCATCATCAGCAGCATCATCATCATCATCATCAGCAGCATCATCAGCAGCATCATCATCATCATCATCAGCATCAGCATCAGCATCGTCATCATCATCATCACCATCATCATCATCATCATCATCATCACCATCACCATCGTCATGCTCCGCCTCCACCTCCTCTCCCTCCTCTTCCTCCACCGCTTCTTCGACCTCCCTCGTCATCTGAGGGACAACGATAGGGGGGACTAGCATAGGGGGGGATGCATCGATCTGCAATCAGCGATACATCGTCGGTCGATCGGCGATAGGCCCCCGATAGCGAAACCGCACCTTCCTGGGCGGGTTGGGGCTATCGGGCCCCTGTCGGCGTGCAATGGGCGATTGGGGGTCGATGCATCCCCCCCTATGCTCATCACCCCCCTATCGATGCCCCTGATCTAGGCGAACAATGACGTAAACAAAGGCTTATAGGTCCGCGCGGATTTCTCGGATCGGCGATCGACCCCCCTCCCTGGCGCGCGGAGCGCGCCAGGGGCGGCGCCGGAGGCGCCGCCAGGGGGCCCCAACGCCGATCCGAGAAATCCGCGCGGACCTCCGAGTTTTTTGCATGTTTACGTCCTTGCACGCTCTCCATATCGTTGCCCCTGAGCATCCCCCCTCCTCATCCCTTCTCTCTCCGATGGTATCGATCATCCCCTTCCTCGGAGGGGAGGAGGAGGAGGAGGAGGAGGAGGAGGAGGCGGCGGAGGAGGAGAAGGACGAGGAGGACGAGGAGGACGAGGAGGAGGAGGAGGAAGAGAAGCAGGCCACCTGGCGTGACGGGGTGCCGGCAAGTTTTCGGCCGGCCGAGATCTCCAGCCGCCGCCCCAGCGACGTCGGTGCGGGCAGCTCTCCGAAGACCTTCGCGAGGCCACCGCCGCCGCCGCCGCCGCCGCCGTCGGCGCCGTCGGTGCCGTCGTCGTCGTCTTTGTCGTCGTCGTCGTCGTAGGCGATGGTCATGGCAATGGTCATGGTGTTGGGAAAGGGCAATTGTCATGGCGATGGTCATGGTGGGGGGGTGGGAGACGGGAGGTGGGAGGTGGGAGGGGACAATGGTGAGGGGAAACGGGTCTGAGTTGCTGGGCCGGCTGCGTTTTCCCGCGCGCGGCTGGGGGGGGGGGCGCCGCACCGCGACGAGGTCGCACACTGTGAATGCCACTGATCGTGATGATGTGATATCGCGCGCTCCTCACAACAGGCCCAACTCCCAGTCGCACAGCGCGCAACAGGATCAGGCGCTCGCCGCGAACGTGTGGGAAAGGGGAGGATACAGGGATGTCACTGGTAAGATCTGGGTTGGGTGACTAGAGAAGCGGGGGTAAGCCAGACCGAGCATGGCACCATGGCACGGCTGCCACGGGCGATGGGCAGAAAACGGAGCGGGGCTGAAGGGAAAGGCGGAGGCATGTAGCACTATGCAAATACAGCTCTTGAGTATCTCTGTTCCCTTCAACCACCATCATAGCGCACCTCGGTTGGCGCCGCGGCCATTGCCCGGCAGCGCTCCTCTCAGGGTGCGCCAGCCGCGTACTGCTCTCATCTGCACTACTGAACGTGCCCCTACGGAACAGCTCCACCGCGAGATCAAGCTTCGCTTTCCTCTTGGTCATCCTATCGACGAACAATGCCAGATGATCCACCCAACGTATCTCGCATCCCAATGCATTCATGGCTTGCACTAGGATTTGGATCTGGGTAGCGAACTTCCGATCACGTCCCCCCGCGGTTTCCCGCTGAAGATAGTCATGCAGCGACTTGGCATCCACCGCGCGCAAGCCCTTCCGCACGAATTGAGCACTCTCGTCCACGTCGTTGCGTCCAGCTAGAGACAGCAGCCTACGCTGCTCACGCCATCGCTCCCACTCGTCGAGGCGAAACCCCGGAATAGCAAACTCGCGGCACATCGCGACGGTCCACCCCAGCCCTGCAAAGCACCTTTTCAAGGACAGCGTCCCCGCATGCAGGGTGGAATCAACGACTCGGTGCATCCTCGAGCATCTCCAGGCCAACAGACTGGGTGGTTGCCTTTCGCCCTTGCTGATCGCAGAGGTAGTGGCCAGGATAGCTCATACCCCTGGCGATCCGCCGTCGCTGCTATTGCGAAGACTCGCATCCGGAAGAGAAACCCATGTCAGCTTCTCCAAAGGTATTGATCACACCGCGATGCCCAAATCGGCAGCGTCCTTCATGCGCTTCACCAGCAGGTTGATTTCCTTCACGTCCTCGTAGGTCAGGCGGCTCAATGCCTGCTGGAGTAGACTGTATCTGGCACTCCCATATGCTCGCAACTCTCGTGTCAGCCAGTTCAAGGACCCCAGAACGGCTCAAGCCTAACTGCACTCCCCAGGAGAGCACCCCTCCTGCGGCCAGTGGCCTTTGCCAACCTGTATGGGCGACACCCTTTCCTCGATGAGCTTCCGCATCGTCACGTGGAAATTGTACTCGCGGTCCTGAGCGCAGTGCCTCCCATTGAACATACCTCCCTCCTTCTCGTCCATCCGCGACTGCACCTTGCCGAACCTGCGCTGCTCGCGTAGCACATTCATCTGCTCCTGGTGCCCTGCGCCCCCGACGGCGAAGACGTCGTCCACCTCCACAGCCACAATACCTTCAACATCAGGACGGGCTGGGACAGCAGGCCCTCCGGCCGGCTGTTGCCGTCCATGCGAGAGTCCTTGTCCCCCGTGATCTGCGAGCTGGAGAAGTGGTTGCAACGGGGTGTCCTTGGAAAAGAGCATGAACACCGTGGGATCCAGGGTGCTCCGCCGGTACCCCAGGCTCACCAGGCCCCGCTCGAGCCCCTACCTGCAATGCAGCGGCGCACCCCCGACCTCGCGCACGCCAGACGCCAACTCGATCAACTGCCCAGGCTCCATGTGGGGCAGGCCCGCCCTCGGCTGCTCAGCGTATGATTTCCCGGTTTCCCCCGCCAGCTTGTCGGGCTGCATGAAGGCTATCCATAGGTCCCCAATCGTAGCCCTGCACTAGTTGGATGCGGCAATCTGGAGCACCATCATCAGTGAGCTCGTGGCAACGGTGGGGGCTTACCTCAACAGCGGCAGGAAGTCTGGGCCTTGGTCCCCGCGAGCGCACCACCTGCTCTTGTAGCTAATCAGTTCTCCTCTAACTTCGGACGGCCTCTTCCCCCTTACCATGCGGGATGGTAGGATGCGGCCATCCTTCCCTTGACGCCTCAAAGCAGCTCTGACCTTATGACTCTCCTCCACTCCCAGCACCCTCGCCCCACTTGTGGACAGCACTCCCTCCCGCTCGCTGCTGTCGGAATTGATCCACTCAGGCCACTCGCCCTTGGGAATGCACCGTTCCTGCGCTTCGTCACCTCCGCGCCTTTTGATGAAGTGCGTATATTCATCGGGGCACTCAGTATATGCCTGGACATAGTAGATGTCCTCCTCGAGCTCATGCTTCCACTCGCCATTCGCCAGGTCCTCGTCTGTCTCGTCGGAGATGGCGGCGCGGACTCCCAGGTCCATCTCCTGGTTCTGCCTCACCGCCCTGCGCACCGCAGCTTCGACCCTTCTCCGCGTAGGATCTGGCCCTTCTTGAGCTTCAGCTTCCAGCCGACGAATTAGGCCTCGCCCCAGACCTTCGAAGTCGAGCTCCATCCCGGGCGCGTGTGGCACCGCGTCGATGCTCGGCGCTGCAGCTTGGGAGGCCCGCTGCAGCAGCTTCTCGCCCTCGCAAACGTCCTCGCTCTTGTGCCTCACATCGCGCTCGAGTTCGGCAGGCTCGCGCAGATCTTCCTGGGACACCTCCTCTAAGCTCTTCTGCATGGCCTCATCCTCCTGATCCACCTTCTCGCTCTCCTCTGTCTTCTCCTTTTCTGGAGCGCGCTCCTCAGGTTCGCCCCGGGCTTCTCCGCCGTCAATGGGCTTCGCCTCGCTGGCGTCTGGGACTATCTCTGGGCCCTGTGCGGGGGGATGCGCCTCTTCTCGCGCGCGTCGTCGCAACTCTGCGACAGGCTCATCTGGCTCGCGAAACTTACGATATCCATCCCGCGCCCACTCTGGGGAAGCCCCCTCCGCAGAGATATGATGAAAAACGTGCCGTCTATTCCTCCTGCCCAGCTGCTCCCTCAGGCTGTCGTAGCGGGAGCTGAGGAGCTCGGTCCCGCGACGCTCATCACTGGTCGCCAGTCTGACCTGCTCCAGCCCACATTGCCAAAGATCACCCTCTGGTACACCCTCACGGATCCGCCCTCCCCCATGAGCACGACACTTGGACCCGCCCATCTCTCTTGCCTGTAGTCTGGATGCCACTTGTCGCCGGCATCCTTCGTGAACATCCTCCACGCGCGGACCCAATCGCCAGCTCGCACTTGCACCCGAAGGCGAGCCCCGCTGGGCAGCACGTGCTCGATGGAGCTGTGGGTGTCCACCTCCATCATGTCCCGATGGGCCGCTTCACGAGGCCGATGTGCACGCTGCACCTCGGTACCTGGGTTTGGGTAAGTAGGCAGGCATCCATATTCTCACCCGAGAGAAGACTGCCTGGAAGCAGAGGAAGTTGCCCCAGAACTCGCTGCACTGGGGTCACCCCTGAGCGGTTCAGAAAAAGCGATTCTTCGCTGCCTCGCACGCCAGAATCAGGGCCTCCGCATATTTCCTATTCTCCGGAGGCTCGAGCTCGCACGGCTTCGCGCATATGGCCGCGCTCGGACTTCGCGTTCTTCCACGGAGCCCCAGCGTCGATGTTGGACACGAGGCACCCATGCTCCGCAGCTCGGTCAGCAAAGGGGCCCATGAACTCCTTGCCCTCGTCCACGACAAGAATCTCCAGGGGGCCGAACACCCGTCGCCAGCACCTGCAGAAAGCTAGACAGACATTCCAAGGTCTTCTTTCCCTTGGGCACTCTCTGGAACATTGAATAGTGCGTCCCCGAGTCCGACACATTCAGGCAGGGTGCTCCCTCGCGATGACGATCAGGTCCACCCGAACCACGTGGTTCACCCGGTACGACTTCGGCATCGCCCCGGCTCGTCTCGGCTTTGGTCGCATTCTTGCCCTGCGCACGTCGCACTCGAACTTGGCCTTGGCCAACCGGATCAGGCGTGGACGGACGCGCCCCAGCCATAATGCCCTTCAGAAGTCGACCGCGCGCGGGTGGGCCCACTTCTCGCGCAGCCCCCTGATCAGCTTCTTCTCCATCTCGTTCGGCTCGATCATGCCAGAGGGTCGTCTTCTTCTGGCGGATCCTCCCCAGGGGCCTCCTGGTCCTCTTCTTCGTCTCCTTGGCCGTCGTCGCCATCTTCTCCCTCTTGATCATCCTCTGCATTGAAGACTTCCACCTGATCCTCGCGCCCCTCTTGATCTTCCCGCAGCTGCCGACCTAGCCCCCGAGCAGTAGCACCGCGCAACGCAACCGAATACCGTTCAGCGTAGTGAGCTTTCCCGTTGATGAGGATATCGCGTTCGCGGTCGCCCTTGCACCGCTTCTCGAGCTCGGCTGCGACGCATGGAGAGCTCGCGATGAACGTAGCCCGCTTCTGCCAGAGCTTCCCTGACGGCCCTTTGAAGCCGAACCTGCGCTTGTCCGCATGGACCACGCTAACTCCTTCCAACCCCGCGAGTGCTGTCACCTCTGGCCCATCGACGCTCTTGGCCGCACGCGAATGTTCGAACAAGAAATATCGCCCACGTGCAGGTCGCTCAGCCAAGACCTCGACGGCGAACCTGAGGTGGTCAAGCCCAGCGCTGAGGTGAGCCCTTGCCTTTTTTATGTTGGGGGTCCATGCGATGGTAGTTCCACTCCATCAGGGCATTCAAAGGACCACGCGGCGGAGTCCCAACATTGAGATCAGGGCCCCGTGCACGTACGCCTGCAAGGCAGGAGGTGCGATCCTGGGCCCGGTCGAAATTCCAGCCCAGCTTGAGGTCGTAGGCCACTCAACCTCCACTGCGATTCCATGTTAGAGCCTCCGTTGTCGATCCCACCAGCTGCGCCGCTTGGTCCAGTCTGCGCCTCGCTGGCCTGCTCCGTCAGCGCGGACGTTGCCTTGCGAATTCGCGAGGACGTTGACAGGAGCAATGTGCAAGTGCATGCGTTTGCGGGCACCACCCCAGAGATGGCGTACCAGTCGAACCAGGTTGACATGTTCCAGGCTGGGAGTGTTCTTGATATCACTCCCACTGCGTATTTGGAGCCTGTCTGTAAAACCACTGGTGAGCATCAACAGCGAGATCTTGGAGCCGTTTATACATCCGCAGGCATGTACAACAAGACCTCGACAATATCGTTCAGCTCAGCCGAATTCAGAGACCTCCTGCATGGGGTCGGAGCAGATGGGGTCGGAGGATCACGCCGCATCGCTGGTACATCGGCGATGCATCGGCGACGCATCGGCGATGCATCGGCGATGCGCCGGCGATGCATCGTCGACATGGGCGGTGCATCGGCAACGACGACGCGAAACAAATCAGGCTCCGCATCGCTGATGCATCGCCCATGCATCGGCGATGCGGCGCCGTCCTCCGACCCCATTCGCTCGGACCACACCTGGGAGGCCCAGAGTCTTGTTGGAGGCGGAGGAGAAGGAGGAAGGAAGGGGAGAAGCGGGAGGAGAAGCCCGGCCAGTGAGCCCGGGGTGCGCCCTGTGCCTCGCGAGGCCAAGAGTTGCGCCGGCAGACCTGCCACGAGCCGGCGGTGCCGCCCCAGGCCCCCGCCAGGGCCGGCTCGGAGGTGTCCTGCGGGAACTCGGCGGCGACGGCCAGGCGGGGATGCAGGACGGAGCCGCCAGGACCGAAGAGCCCCTCCTTCTACACGTCGGTCGGAAGAAGTGGGTAGAACCTTTCTTTCTGTCGGCGGCGGGGCAGAGTTGGCTGCACCAGCGATGCATGCGAAACGGGGGGAGGAAGAGAATGTATCGCCCAGACCTCCCCCACACCAACAGAAAAAGCAAGCTCTTATGCCGGGCACCCGGGGGCAGCCCGAGAAAGGCTCGGGATGGACCGCTGGCCCCCCTGGAGGGGGCCGTCGAGACGCCCCCCCCAGGGTCGGGCATGTCCCTCTACAAGAGACATCGCTGTTTTTGGACAAAAAAAAAAAAAAAAAAAGTCTGGGGACTTTCGATTATTCTGGACTACGTTTGAGCATGTGATGGCTACTTCTGATGTTTCGTCGAGCATCCGCCTGGAGGGACCACATGCCCGACCTGAGGCCCGGGGAGGAAGGAGGAGGACGCCAGATGCCGGGGGGCATCTCCAGGGACCTCCTCGGTGGGCCTCCCCCTCCCCCCCCCTGCCCCGTGCTCGGCGGCGAGCGATGGGGGAGAAGTGAAAAAGAGGAGGCCCTCTCAAGGGCGAGAGGGCTTCTCAGAAGCCTCCCGAGCCTGCTGGGAAGTTTGCGGCGTCTTCGGGCCCAGACCCCCGACGTCATGAGGTTTTCATTACCTTGACCCCCAAAGGTCCCGACCCCTTCTTCGGGACCGGTTTCTCATCCTGAATCGTTTTTGACGGTCCCGAGGCCCGGTGAGGGCCCCTGGAGGCCGAAAAAAATTTAAAGAACAAAAAAAAAAAAAAAAAACTCCCGTCGTGTTTTTTTCATTACCCGAGGGGGTCTGGGGGGACGGCTCAGAAAACTTCTCGGAAGGCTGCGGTGGCTTCCAGGCCTTCTGAGAAGGAGTGAGCCCCTGCTCACTTCCCTCTTGGGCTCCCCGTCGACCTTCATGTTCCCTCCTCATCCCCGAGAGGGGGAGGAAGAGGAAGAGGGGGAGAAGGAGGAGGGAGAGGGGGAGGAGGGGGAGGAGGAGGAGGAGGCCGGGGAGGAAAAGGAGGAGGAGGGGGATGAGGAGGAGGAGGAGGGGGATGAGGAGGAGGAGGGGGATGAGGAGGAGGAGGAGGAGGAGGACGTGGACTCGAGGTAACCTGGCTACGAGGCGCCTCCTCCCCGAGAGCCCAGACTTCCAGCATCGTGACCGTGGTTCCGCCCGCGGGGCCCAGAACTCTCGCCCCCACCGGCGGGGCCAGGCTCTCGCTCTGGAGGCCGGAAGGGAGTGTGGCGTGCAGGGGCGTGGTGCCAATGGTGGAGATTAGGAAGGCACCAACTATACACCAACACCGATCCTGGCCAGGATCACCCTGGGCCCAGGATCGGTGTATACGCCCTCCTGCCTTGCGCAAGAAGGCATATACACCGATCCTGGGCCCAGGGTGATCCTGGGTCAGGATCGGTGTTGGTGTATAGTTGGTGCCCTCCGAATGGTGGAGATGGCGATGTGATCTGCGATAGATGACCTCGCCAGGTTCGGCATTGGCACCACACCCCTTGGCACCACACCCCTCTCCTACCCCCAGACTCGCCGTGCACTCTCTTGGCTCCTGCTGTGCCCCGCGGGGGCCGAAAGACGGCCACTGGAGGCCGAAAGGCGAGGAGAGACGCCAGGGTGGAAAAGTCGCGACGCGGGAGGTCGGGGGATCGGGTGGCTGAGGGCAGGCAGCGTCTCCGGCTGCATCCCCCTCTGGCATGGGCTTCCAGAAGTCCAGCCTGAGGTTGGTCAGCTCCTGAGCGGGTGACCCCCGGGCTGCCGTCCGGGGCGAGCAGGAGGAGGTCAGGACGAGGGTCAAGGCCGCAGCGGCAGGAGCGGGATGAAGAGATGAAGAGACAGTCGGAGCAGGAGCAACATCAGCATCAGCAGCAGTTAAAGGGCGACGACGACGGCGACGATGTCGGCGACGGCGACGGCGACGCACGACGCACGACGCACGACGACGACGACGAAAAACAACGACGAGGACGACGAGGACGAGGACGAGGACGAGGACGAGGACGAGGACGGCGGCGGACGACGACGACGACGACGACGACGACGACGAGGACGAGGACGGAGGGGGCGGCGGCGGCGGCGAGTGGGGGGGAGAGGAACCGGGGGCAGGAGAGAGAGAGGGGAAGGGAGAGAAGAGGAGGAGAAGGGAGGAGAAGGAGAAGGAGGAGGAGGAGGAGGAGGCGGAGCGGCGCGGCGCGGCGCTGAGCGGAGAGGAGAGGACAGGAGAGAACGACTACGAGGAAGAAGAAATCGAGAGGGAGGGAGGGGAGGGAAGGGGGAGGATGAGGACGAGGAGGGTGCGAGGAGGAAGACGACGAGGAGGAGGACGAGGGGGATTAGGAAGAGGAGGAGAACAAGAGCAAGCACGCGCTGCACAAGGATGCTGCACAGGTGCCCGTAGGCACTCCTCTCCACTGCGGGGAGCCCCCCCTCCCTGGACAGGCGCACGCCCCGGGTGCACCTATATGCCACTGGGGCGGGAGCCCGTTTCGTGAAGGACCCGCCCTCTATCCTTCCAACTATGTGCCAAGAGGCGGGGCCGTCAACTGCAAGAGAAAAAGTCCAGCGGCTGCTGCGTCTTGAAAAGGGCCTGCCCGCCGTCCGCAGAAGGGCTCATCCATGTAGCTAGCTTCGGGAAATTAGCTTCGGGGTTACGAGAGATGAGAAGACTGGCGAAGCGCCCGGTCCGCCTTAACGACACGTCTGGTGCTGCCTCATGAGTTATACCAATTAGGAAACCGCATGGAGGAGCCTCCTCCACAAGGGAGCCTAACTTCGCGCTTCGCACTGCGCGAAGCGCGAACAACTTCGCGCTCTCGCGCCGCCCCCAAAGGGGAGAAGAGGAGGACGAGGAGGAGGGGGAGGAGGAATGAGGCCCGCGAAGCGCGAAGCGCGACAAACTTCGCGCCATCGTGGGACCCCTTGCCTCCATCCCTCTGCGTTATCCTTCCTCCTCCTCCGAGGAAGAGGACGTCGACGACGAGGAAGAGGACGCGAAGGGGGAGGGCGAGGAGAGGGGGAGGGGGGCCGGAAGGGGGGTGGGGGAAGAGGAGGGGAATCGGCAGAAAGATCGGGGGGGGTCCTCCTCCTCCTGCTCCTCCTCCTCCTCCCCCTCTTCCTCCTTCCCCTGATCCACTCCTTTTCCATGTAAACAACTTCTCCCTGTCGCACCCCGAGGCAAGTTTTTGGGGCGAGCCAGGCGTTTCGCCTGAGACTTCCTCACCATGTATGATTCTGAAGCTTCAGAAGTGGCAACAGTTTAACAGATGGAGAGCGCGTGGTTTTCAAGATGTGGCTCTCGCCCTAGCGCCGCGCACATTCGGTTGAACAATTTGCAAGAGCTTCACGGATTGAGGGCGGGTGGTTTTATGAATGTGGTTCTCGCGTTAGCGCCGCGCACATTCTTTTGAACCATTAGCAAGAGTTTCACGGTTTGAGGGCGGTTCTATTCAAAATGTGGCTCTCGCCTTAGCTCCGCGCACATTCTCTTTAAACATTCGCAAGAGCTTCACGGGATGAGGGCGGTTCCTCTTCAAAATGTGGCTCTCGCATTTTAGCGCCGCGCACATCCGATTTAAACATTCGCAAGAGGTTCACGGACTAAGGGCGGTTAATTTTCAAAATGTGGCTCTCGCATTTTAGCGCCGCGCACATTCGTTCATAACATGTGGAGAGGTTTCACGGATTCCCATGATCAAGGTACCAGATATTGTTTTTGGATAGATTGGGGATTATGCGGGTGCAACAGTTATGTTGATCCGCGGTATTGAAATCCCAAAAATGGCGTTCTGGCACGAATCCGGATCGTCAAGACGCAGCAGTCAGGTTGCTCCGTGGCGTTGAAATTCCGAGAACACTGTTTTGGCATGCTTCAGGGTCTTCAAGGGTGTCTTCCGACGAGGCAGTTCCCTCAATGGAAATAAACCGTTGCAGGGGCCTGTGAAGAGAAAGCTTGAAGGGAAGGTTACTTCCAACATCGTTGATGACTCTTTGGTCTACACTGTTCCTCCTCCTCCTCCTCCTCCTCCTCCTCCTCCTCCTCCTCCTCCTCCTCCTCCTCCTCCTCCTCCCCTTCCCCTCCTCCTCCAGGACTCGATGTTCGGCCCCGGCTCCTGCATCGCCTCGCCGCACAGATCGTCCTCCCAGAGGCAATCCTGGCGGGGGCGCGAGCGGGAAGTGCCGCGCGACGGCGGCAGCGCGAGGGAGGGCGGCCAACGGACTGCGGGCCGCGGGCCGACCCCAGCGGGCGGAGGAGACGGCAGGACGCGGGGGGGAGAACCCGCGACCTGTGGACGCGCTGTCGGGCAGGGCTGGTCCTGCACGCTGTGATTCGGGTCGTGTTCGGTTTGTGCTTCGGTTCGCTCCTTACCCGCGCTCTCCTGCACCTCCCTGCCGAAACGAAACACAAAGCGCGGCCGAAGTCAAGCAAGACAGCGATGAGGTCCAGCCCTGGCGGGCGGAGGGAGCGGCAAGACGCGGCGGGAGGACCCGTGACCTGTGGTCGCACCGTCGAGCGCTCGAGTCGGGGAATGTTTTTTCGTCGGCGGCGAGGCAGAGTCGGCTGCAACAGCGCAGAAGCTGGACGGAGGCGCCGAAAAGCAGATTCTGCCAGCATGCAGGAGGCGAGGAGGCAGGGCGGGCGGCCGCGGGGGGGGGGGGAAGACAAGGCCACTCAGAGGCGGAAATGTTCTCACGCGAGTGTGCTGGCGCGGCCAGCCCCGCCAGCATGGCATGGCATGAACTTACACCTTCGGATGTCCGCGCGGTTTCCTCGGATAGGCGCTGGATCCCCCTGGCGGCGCCTCCAGGCCAGCGCCGCCCCCAGAGGGCTCCGCGCGCCAGGGAGGAGGGGTGCAGCGCCGACCGCGCGGACCTCTGAAAGTGCGTGTGCGAGTCACGTTGTGTGTTCCCCGACTCGAGGCCTACAGCTCCTCGAAGAGGTGGCGGCGCCAGCACCTCTGCGCTCTCTTGCAAGGACTGCGTTGCTGTTTGGGCCTCTTCGTTCGTCAGCCAGGCATCCGGGTGTCAAACTATCGGGTACCCCGCGGATCTCTTGGATCTGCGCTGGACCCACCTCCCCGCCACGTGGAGCGCTCCAAGGGCAGCGCCAGAGGCGCCGCTGGCGGAGCCCGAACGCCGATCCGAGAAACCTGCGCGGAGCTACGCAAGGGTATGCTTTTTTTGTATGCCGCCAGGGTGGCGGCGGGGCGGAAGGCCAGGATCGGCAGCGAGCCTGGGGGGGGGGAAGAGAGAAGGAGAAGGCCGTCGCAGAAGGCTCGGAAGCCCCCCCCCGCCTTCTGAGGAGTGCTGGGAGCCTTCCCCGGAGGCACAGAAGGCTGCTGGCACAAGGCTCGGGGGGGGGGCTTCTCGGGAGGCGCGAGGGCCTCTGAGCAGCCCCGCCGCCCTCGGAGGCCTCCCCCTTTTGACGTCCCCCCCCCCCCTTCGCTCGCCGCCGACTGGAGGGCAGCGGGGCGGAAAGCTCGAAACGAGCTGGGCCGCCGCAAAGTTTCGCAGCGCCTCGCGGACAGCGAGCGGGGCGAGGCACCAGGGCGGCTGGGCGCAGGCACTCGAACAAGCAAACGGTGCCCACAGGACGTTGCCCAGTGGGCTCGTTAAGAAGGTTGTGTCGAGTTGGTCAGCCGTACATCTTTCCGTGGCCGGCCAGGCGAGGCAATCAGCGCCAGCGTGGCAGTGACACAGGGGCACTACAAAGCGAACTGGCCAGCATGCAGGAGCGCGTTTCTTTATGTTCGGCGATGACGGGCGTCATGGGGGGGGCGGGGGGGTATGACGGAACGCCCACCCCCCCGCCGTATGGCTCCGGCACCGCAGCCACGCCCGCGCGCACGACGCGACGAGCGACGAGCGACAAGCGACGACGACGACGACGACGACGACAACGAACGACGACGACGACGACAAGAGCAGCACGTAGGTGGCGATATGCCCCACTGCGCCTGTATACACCACAGCGCTCGCGTGCACCACAGCGCGCGTGTACACCACACCGCCTGCGTATACCGCAACAGCCGTGTGCAATGCAGCGCCTGTGTACACCACAGTGCTTGCGTACACTACAGCGCTGGCGCACATGTGTACACCGCAGCAACCATGTGCAACACAGCGCCTGTGTACACCACAGTGCTTGCGTGCACCGCAGCGCCTGTGCACGCCACAGCGCCTGTCTACACAACACCATCCGCGTGCAACGCAGCGCTTTTGTACACCACAATGCCTGCGTGCAGGAAAACGCTGATAATCGAATGCGACGTGTTTCCCTCCTCCCTCCTCCTCCACTTCCACCTCCCCCTCCTCCTCCTCCTCCTCCTCCTCCTCCTCCTCCTCCTCCTCCTCCTCCTCCTCCTCCTCCTCCTCCTCCTCCTCCTCCTCCTCCTCCTCCTCCTCCTCCTCCTCCTCCTCCTCCGCCTCCTCACCCCCTGTCGTGCGGGTTGGCGCTACAGCGCACGTGCACATTTCAGCGTGCACCGCAGAATGGTCTATTGAATCGGCCCACTTGGTTCTCGCACGGCCAATTTAGCTGGAGTTTCCTGGGCGCAGATGGGAGGAGTTAAGGTGATACGGGCGGGCTCGGGAGGACGCGTAGATTCCAGCGGCGCTCCTTTGTCCATAAGGATTAGTTTCTTTTGTTTTCTGTGGAATCCACAAGCGCTCCATTTTGTCATGAGGATTCCGTCTAACATTCTATATGCAACAGTGGTGCTGTGTAGCACACGGTTGCTGTGGTGCACACAGGGGCCGTGGTGTACGCAGGCACTGCAATGCACGCAAGCATTGTGGTGTACATTGGTGCTGTGTGCGCGCACGGCTGATGTGGTGTACGCAGGCGCTGTGGTATACACAATAGCTGTTGTGCAGGCACGGTGGCACAAACTGGCGCTGTGTTGCGCGCGGATGCTGTGGTGTACATAAGCGGTGTGGTGTACACAAGCGCTGTGGTGCACGCAAGCACTGTGGCGTACACAGGCGTTGTGGTGCAGATCGCCACCTATATGCTGATGGCACCCAACATCCGTCATTCCTAAGCACTCCCAAACGCCGCCGGCGCGAAACGTGACGTCATCGACCCAGAATAAAAAGCAGGCTCCAGCCGCGTCAGTGCGCACGACGACGATGAGCGACGAGTGACGAGCCACGAGCGATGACGACGACGACGACGACGACGACGACGACGACGACGACGACGACGACGACGACGACGACGACGACGACTGCGGACCAGCCTCCTATGCGGATTCCTACGCGGACACCTACGCGGATCTCAACGCGCACGGCGGCAGTGCCCGGAGCCTACTGGGGGGGGGAGCGTTGCGTCATACGGGGGGGGGTGAAGCGTGGCCATGACCGTCATGCCCCAAGCAATAAAGAAACGGGCTCCAGGAGGAGGGAGGAAGAAGGAGAGGGCGGCCGCGGGTGGAGGGGGGAGGGCGAGCACTCAGAGGCGGAAGACTTCCGCCGTGAGCAGCCCGAGCGGCCCGCTGGCGCGTCCGGGGGGCCGGAGCGGAGGCCAAGCAGACCGCGTCAGCACATGGTCTGCCGTACAGGTGAGTTGTGGTAGGCGTGCGGTTGCGCATGCGCGTGCGTGAGTTGTGGCGTACGCCCGCGCGTACGCTTTGCCTAATGGGTGTGCTTGCGAAATGACTTGGTTACGTGTGCGTGTGCGTGATGCGGTTGTGTGTGGATGCAAGTGTGTGCAAGTGTGTATGTGCTTGTATGTGAATGTGTGTGGTGTTTGCGTGTGTGTCTTTGTGTGTCTGTGTGTCTGAATGCCTGCGTGCCTGTGCGTCCGTGTGTGTGTGTGTGTTCTGTGTGCGGCTACGTTCCCCTCGCATCCCCCTGCTCCGCCCCCCCCCGACTCCCCCTCCCCCATCTCCACATCACATCGACGTGCCTCCTCCCCCCCAGCCCAACGTTGCCCTCCCCCTTTTTCACCTCCTCCTGCTCATCATATTAATGTCTTTATGTGTGTGTGCAGCTTAGGGCCACGCGTGACTAGCCGAATTCCCACCAGCCCTCTGGTCGTAGGAGGTCTAACGAGTTCTTTCCTCGTCCAAAAACCCTCTTCACTTCAGGGAGGGGTATCCTCCCACTCCCCTGACTGAGTTTTTTGTTGGGGGTGTCGCGAGGTGGCAGGGAGTCCGTTTTCGCCCAAGATGGCTCCAAGCGGGTCTCCGATGCTCCAAGATGGCCTCCAAGGCGGCTCAAGATAGCCGAAAATCCTCCAAGAGGCCCCACGAGGGCCACAAGACGGTTCCAAGAGCTCTCGGAGCCTCCATCAGGAACCCCCGACGAGGCAAGACTCCGTCCAAAACCACAAGAAAATCAATGATGTGTGCCTTTTCGTGTATTCGCGATGCGGTGTTGAGGCCCCAATGCTGCCCCAAGATGTCCCAAGAGAGCCCCGCGAGGGGCTCAAGATGCCCCCCAAACGGGCCCACCAGCGCCCAAGATCCGGCCAAAAGCGCCCCAAGAGCGCCCAAGAGGCGATGTTGATGGCTCCAGGAGGGGAGGCAAATCGAGGCCCCCCCCCCCTCCTTCGATCGATAGCCTCCAACACGGCCTCGAGAGGCCCGTAGCGCCGTGCACGTGTGTCTTGGAAATTTGCAAGGGCTTCACGGGTGGAGGGCGGGTTGTTTTCAAAGAGTGGCTCGCGCCTCAGCGGCGCACACACTCCGCTTTTAGAGTGCAGGAGCGTCACGGAAGGAGGACGGCACCTGTTCGAGATGTGGCGCTCGCCTGCGCGCCGCGCACATTCGTCTTCAGAGTTCGGAGCAGTTTCAAATATTAGCATGGCTGACGTCCCAGATGTGGTGTTTCGGCACGATGTTTCGGCAGGCGTGGCTATTGCGCAACAGTCAGGTTGATCCGCCGTGTTGAAGTCCCAGGAATGGTGTTCTGACACTGTTCAGACTGTCAAGACTCAACAGTAGCGTTGACTCGCGGTGCTGAGGTGCGAGGAAAAGGGTTCTGGCACGATCCAGAATCGCCACGACGCAACAGTAACGTTGATTCGCGGCGCTGAAGTCCCAGGTACGGTGTTCTAGCACGGTTCAGGATGCGCAAACGCTTGTATTCCAACGGTTGTATTCCAACAGGGCACTTCCCTCAGTGCAAATGTATTATTGTAGGGGCATGTGAAGAGGGAACTCCGAGGGAGGGTCTATTGCAACATCGATGATGAAACTTGGGTTTGCACTGGTGTTCCTCCTCCTCCTCCTCCTCCACCTCTCCTCCTTCTCCTCCTTATTCTCCTCCTCCTCCTCCTTCTCCTCCTCCCGCCTGGTCTTCCTCCTCATCCTCTTCCTCCTCCTCATCCTCCTCCTCCTCCTCCTCCTTCTCCCCCTCCCCTCACCCCCCCGCGGGCCGCGGGCACCAGAAATGGCCCGACGAGCCCTCAAAGGCCACCCCTTTCCTACCAGAATTCTCTCTGCTCATCCTGGTTGCATGGACGTGGTGGGGATACGCTTTTTTTCTCGGTCGCGGCCGCGAAACAAAGGTCCGGCGGCGAGAAGCAAAGTCCGGGACACGAACGAGGCTACGTGGTGGGGGTACAAGAAGCGTGAAGAATCCCACCAACTCTCTCTGGGCACAGGTGGCTTAACGAGCTGTGTCTTCTCTCTGCCAAAGCTCCCCCGAGCCCCTGCTCGGGGGAGAGGTTTACAACTGCCACATATTGATGAACACACAACCTCACCCAGGCGACCAGCAGCCAACCTGGGTCAATCAGCCCCCCCCCGACAATTCCTGGAACAACAACAATAGAAATGCGTTCTGCCTCCTAATCTGGCGCATGCGCAGGCGCCCCTCGACCACTTTGCAGTGGGCGGGGGTGCTGGCATATTGCTTGCTGCGGGCAGGCCAACCACCCCTGCCAAAAAGCCATAGAAAACTACACTCTGGCTCCAAATCTAGGGCATGCGCAGGGATCTCTTGTCTCTGAGCTCACATGTGTTTCACGACTCCTCAAGATGCCACAATTTGTCCATCCGTGCTGGTGCTTTGCGCGCCCTGGGGCCGCCCTTCTCACAGCTCGGCACTTCGCTTCTGGGGGGGCTCAAGATCCTGAACTCCTTGGGGCCAGGCCCCCAAGCACCTGGGGTCCCTATTAGTTTCCCGTAGCTGGCGCACCTGGCGCTGCTGGAGCACGTGGTAGAGTCGGCGCACGTGGAGCATGTGACACACCTGGCACGCTTGGGCCTCCAGGGTGTCTGGTGCACCTGGAACCCGTTGCGCGCATGGCAAGTGTGGCGTTCCTAAGCGATCTGCTGACACTCGGGTATTACGTATGTGTTGGGAGGGCGGGTAGGAGTAAGCTAGACGGCCTGCTATTCAGGCGGGCAGCTTGATCCCTCCCTCTACCCCCTCCCCTGGGTTTGGACGGGGCGCCCCGCGAGGTGTCAGAGGAGGAGTGTCGGTACGAGATGGCTCCAAGAGGACCTCAGAGAGTCCAAGATGGCCTCCCAAACGGCCCAAGATACTTCAAGATGGGCCAAGAAAGCCTCAAAACGGCTCCAAGACGATTCCAAGCGCCCTCCGAGCCCTCCGAGCCTTTCAGGGCACCCCTCAAGAGGCTAAACTCATTCCAAAACCTATGGAACATCGATGTGATGTGCCTCTTCGCTTCCGATGGGCTTCTGGGGCCGCAAGATAGCCCCAAGACGGCCCAAGGGAGACCTAAGAGGGGCCCAAAGAGGGCCCCAAGAGGGCCCCAAGAGCGCCCAAACGCTCCAAGAGCGCCCCAAGAGGGCCCCAAGAGGACCCCAAGACGCCCTCTTTGAGCCTCCGAGGGGGGAGGGCTGAATTTCCCACCCTGCCTTTTTGAGCGATGGGGCTCAAGATCGTCCCAAGAGGCCTCCAAGACGCCCACTGCGCAGGTTCTTTGAAGAGTCTTTGCAGGGTCCCCCCCACCCTGCAAAGACGCTGCAAATACCCTGCAAACAGGGGACCCCTCTTTTGCTGGTTAGGGGGCGTCTAGCCCGACTGTTCAAAAAAACACGCTCTACAAGTCCCTGAGTCTGGCAGCTCGCCTGGCAACCTCTCCTACTGGTCCTGGACGCAACGCAAAACAAGTGCCCGAGAATCTTGTAAGCCGAAGAGACATGCTATCAATCTCGAAGAAATCATTGCATAAGAACGAAATGAACCTTTGATATATGATTCCACAATTGTGCCTAGTATGGCCCTAATGCGCTTCCACAGCGGCCCCGTCCACTGCATGCTTCTACACTGCCCTCATTCTAGCAACTCCACCGGCAAATGTTTCTGGGTGGGCTGGTGGGGATACGCGAAGCGTAAAGAATGAACGGGTCATGCTCACACAACAGAAAAAGCAAACGCCGTGACGACTCCACAGCAACGGCCAGCCAGGGCTGCGACCTGGTAGGCCTGCAGTCAGCGTCCAGCCAGTGAGCCTCCTCAGTCTCCTACCCCACCCGTCTGTGCATCCTCGGACAGCCGGGTCCTGGCGAGCGCGGGGCTTGGCTTTGACGTGGTGAATCACGCCGACAAGCTGCCCCACCTCGGACTGCCGCGGGCAAACCCCCCACCCCTGCGCCCGCCCTGACGCGCACTGCCGCCCACCCCTCCTCCTCGGGAGGAGGAATAGGAAGGGAAGGCGTGTGTGTGTGTGTGTGCGTGCTTGTGCGCGTGTTTGTGCGCCCGTGCGTGTGTTTGTGTCCGTGTGTGCGTGAGTGTGTTTGTGTGTGTGCGTGCGTGTCTGCGCGTGTGTGTGTGTGTGTGTGTGTGTTGGTGTGCGTGTGTGCGTGAGTGTGTCTGTGTTTTTTTGTGTGAACGAGTGTGTATGTGTGTATGTATGTATGTGTGCGCGTGCGTGTATGTGTGTGCCGTGTGTCGTGTGTCGTGCGTCGTTTTGTCGTGTGTCGTGTGTCGTGTGTCGTGTGTGCGTGTGCGTGTGCGTGTGTGCGTCGTCTGCGTGTGCGTGTTGTGTGTTACGTGTTGCGTGTTGTGTGTGTTGCGTGCTGCGTGTTGTGTGGTGTGTTGTGTGTTGTGTGTTGTGTGTTGTGCTGTGTGCTGTGTGGTGTGTGGTGTGTGTTGTGTGACGTGTGTTGTGCGCTGGGTGCTGGGTGCTGTGTGTTGTGTGTTGTGTGTTGTGTGTCGTGTGCTCTGTGCTGTGTGTTGTGTGCTGTGTGATGCGTGGTGCGTGTTGTGTGTCGTGTGCTGTGTGCTGTGTGTCGTGTGTCGTGTGTCGTGTGTCGTGTGCCATGAATCGTGTGTCGTGTGTCGTGTGTCGTGTGCCGTGTGCCGTGTGTCGTGTCGTGTGCGTGTTGTGTGTCGTGTGCTGTGTGCTGTGTGCTGTGTGTCGTGTGTTGTCTGTCGTGTGTCGTGTGTCGTGTGTCGTGTGTCGTGTGCCGTGTGCCGTGTGTCGTGTGTCGTGTGTCGTGTGTCGTGCGTCGTGCGTCGTGTGTCGTGTGTCGTGTGTCGTGTGTCGCGTGTCGTGTGTCGTTTGTCGTGTGTCGTGTATCGTGCGCATGTGCGTGTGTGTATGTGTCGTGTGCGTGTGCGGTTGCGTGTTGTGTGTTGCGTGTTGCGTGTTGTGTGATGCGGGTTGCGTGCTTTTTGCTGTGAGCTGTGTGTTGCGTGTTGCGTGGTTTGTGTTGCGTGTTGCGTGCTGTGTGCTGTGTGCTGGGTGTCGTGTGTCGTGTGTCGTGTGTCGTGTGTCGTGTGTCGTGTGTCGTGTGTCGTGTGTCGTGTGTCGTTTGTCGAGTGTCGTGTGTCGTGTGTCGTGTGTCGTGTCGTTTGTCGTGTGCCGTGTGTGCGTGTGCCGTGTGTCGTGTGTCGTGTGCGTGTGCGTGTGCGTGTGTGTGCGTGTCGTGTGCGTGTAAGCGTGCGTGTGCGTGTCGCGTCTTGCCAGTTGCGTGTTGATTGCTGTGTGATGCGTGTTGTGTGCTGTGCGCTGTGGGTTGTGTTGTGTGGTGTGTGTTGTGTGTCGTGTGCTTTGTGCTGTGTGCTGTGTGTCGTGTGTCGTTTGTCCTGTGTCGTGTGTCGTGTGTCGTGTGCCATGAATCGTGTGTCGTGTGTCGTGTGTCGTGTGCCGTGTGCCGTGTGTCGTGTCGTGTGCGTGTTGTGTGTCGTGTGCTGTGTGCTGTGTGCTGTGTGTCGTGTATTGTCTGTCGTGTGTCGTGTGACGTGTGTCGTGTGTCGTGTGCCGTGTGCCGTGTGGCGTGTGTCGTGTGTCGTGTGTCGTGTGTCGTGCGTCGTGTGGCGTGTGTCGTGTGCGTGTGAGTGTGCGTATGTGCGCGTGTCGTGTGCGTGTGTCGTGTGCGTGTGCGTGTGTGTGTTTCGTGTTGTGTGTTGCGTGTTGCGGCTTGTGTGTTGCGTGTTATGTGCTGCGTGCTTTGTCTTGTAAAAACTGTGTTGTTTGTCGTGTGTCGTGTGCCGTGTGTCGTGTGTTGTGTGTCGTGTGTGCGTGAATCGTGTGTCGGGTGTCGTGTGTCGTGTGCCGTGTGCCGTGTATCGCGTGTCGTAAGTCGCGTTCCGCGTGTCGTGTGTCGTGTGTTGCGTGCGTGTGCGTGTGTGCGTGTGCCGTGTGTCGTGTGACGTGTGTCGTGTGTCATGCGTTCGGTGTCGTGTGCCGTGTGTCGTGTGTCGTGTGTCGTGTGTCGTGTCTCGTGTGTCAAGTGTCGTGTGTCGTGTGTCGTGTGTCGCGTGCCGTTTGCCGTGTATCGTGTGGCGTGTGGCGTGTGCCGTGTGCCGTGTGTCGCGTGACGTGTGTCGTGTGTCGTGTGTCGTGTGCGTGTGCGTGTGTGTGTGTGCCAGGTGTCGTCTGTCGTGTGTCGTGTGTCGTGTGACGTGTGTCGTGTGCCGAGTGCCGTGTGTCGTGTGTCGTATGTCGTGTGTCGTGTGCCGTGTGTCGAATGTCGTGTGCCGTGTGCCGTGTGCGTGTTCGTGTGTGTGTGTGCGTGTCGTGTGCGTATGCGTGTGCGTGTTGTGTGTTGTGTGTTGTGTGTTGCGTGCTGCGTGGTGTGTGTTGTGCGCTGTGTGCTGCGTGTTGTGTGTTGCGTGATGTGGGATGCGTGCTGCGTGTTGTGTGTCGCGTGCTGCGCGTTGTGTGCTGTGTGCTGTGTGTTGTGTGTCGTGTGTCGTGTGTCGCGTGTTGTGTGCTGTGTGCTGTGTGCCGTGTGTCGTGTGTCGCGTGTCCCGTGTAAAGTGTCGTGTGTCGTGTGTCGTGTGTCTTATGTCGTGTGTCGTGTGCCGTGTGCCGTGTGGCGTGTGCCGTGTGTCGTGTGTCGTGTGCCGTGTGCCGTGTGCCGTGTGTCATGTGTCGTGTGTCGTGTGCGTGTGCATGTGTGCGTGTGCCGTGTGTCGTATGTCGTGTGTCGTAAGTCGCGTGTCGTGTGTCGTGTGTCGTGTGCCGTTTGTCGTGTGCCGTGTGAAGGGTGCCGTGTGTCGTGTGTCGTGTGTCGTGTGTCGTGTGTCGTGTGTCGTGTGTCGTGTGTCGTGTGTCAGGTGCCGTTTGCCGTGTGCCGTGTGTCGTGTGGCGTGTGCCGTGTGCCGTGTGTCGTGTGTCGTGTGTCGTGTGTCGTGTGTCGTGTGTCGTGTGTCATGTGTCGTGTGCCGTGTGCCGTGTGCCGTGTGTCGTGTGCCGTGTGTCGTCTGTCGTGTGTCGTGTGTCGTGTGTCGTGTGTCGTGAGTCGTGTGCCGTGTGCCGTGTGTCGTGTGTCGTGTCGTGTGTCGTGTGTCGTGTGTCGTGTCTCGTGTGTCGTGTGTCGTGTGTCGTGTGTCGTGTGTGCGTGTATGCGTGTGCCGTACGTGCGTGTGCGCCTGTGTCGTGTGTCGTGTGCCGTGTGCCGTGTGTCGTGTGTCGTGTGTCGTGTGTCGTGTGTCGTGTGCGTGTGCGTGTGTGTGCGTGTGTCGTGTGTCGTGTGCGTGTGCGTGTTGCGTGTTGTGTGTTGTGTGTTGCGTGTTGTGTGTTGCGTGTTGTGTGTTGCGTGTTGCGTGGTGCGTGTTGCGTGCTGTGTGTTGTGTGTTGCGCGTTGTGTGTAGCGTGTTGCGTGTTTTGTGTTGCGTGCTGCGTGTTGTGTTCTGTGTGCTGTGTGTCATGTGTCGTGTGTCGTGCGATGTGTGCTGTGTGTGGGTGTGCCGTGTGTCGTGTGTCGTGTGTCGTGTGTGCGTGTGACGTGTGCCGTGTGTCGTGTGCCGTGTGTCGTGTGTCGTGTGTGCGTGTGCCGTGTGCGTGTGTCGTGTGTCGTGCGCCCTGCGTCGTGTGTCGTGTGTCGTGTGTCGTGTGTCGTGTGTCGTGTGCGTGTGCGTGTGTGTGTGTGTGTGTGCGTGTTGCGTGGTGTGTGTGTGTTAAGTATGCGTGTTGTGTGATGCGTGTTGCGTGTTGTGTGTTGCGTGCAATGTGGTGTGTGTGTTGCGTGTTGTGTGTTGCGTGTTGCGTGTTGTGTATGTTGCGTGTTGCGTGTTGTGTGCAGTGTGCTGTGTGTTGTGTGTCGGGTGTCGTGTGTTGTGTGCTGTGTGTCGTGTGCCGTGTGTTGTATGTCGTGTGTCGTGTGTCGTGTGCCGTATGTCGTGTATCGTGTGCTGTGTGCCGCGTGCCGCGTGTCGTGAGTCGTGTGTCGTATGTCGTGTGTCGTGTGCCGTGTGTCGTGTGCCGTGTGTCGTGTGTCGTGTGTCGTGTGCCGTGTGTCGTGTGTCGTGTGTCGTGTGCGTGTGCGTGTGTGTGCGTGTGTTGTGCGTGTGTGGATTTGCGTGTGCGTGTGCGGCGTGTTGCGTGTTGCGTGTTGCGTGCTGCATGTTGCGTGTTGTATGCTGTGCTGTGTGCCGTGTGCCGTGTGCCGTGTGCCGTGTGCCGTGTGCGTGTGCCGTGTGCCTGTGTGCCGTGTGTGCGACCGTAGCCCTGGCTCGAGGCCACGAGCGGGCCCCCCCTCGGGGTCAGCCGCACTCCGCCGCCCAGCCCCCTCGGCACCCGCCGCCCCCTCTGCGCCCGGCCTAGCAATGAGCCCCGCGGGGGGCTCTCTGGAGGGGACCCCCCCACACCTGGCCTACGGGGCGCAGCGAGGGATGTGCCGAAAGCTCACGTCTGCGTTCCCCCACTTCCTCACCAAATACCAGCTTGGGAGCTACCGCTCTCACGGGGGGGGGGGGCGGGACAGACAAACTTTCATCCGACATCATCGCTGCCCCATCGGCCCTGGTTGATGGGGCTCACGTTCAGCCCGCTGGGCCCAGCGTCTTGATCCCTCCAGAATCCCCGTAGGCGCCCCAGCTTGGTCTCGTTTCTGCGGAGCACGGCTCGGAGGAGAGCGGCGGCTCCCCCACCGATCCTCCGAACCCAGGCCGGCCATGACTCCTCCTCTTCTTCCACCTCCTCCGTCTCCTCCTCCTCCTCCTCCTCCTCCTCCTCCTCCTCCTCCTCCTCTTCTTCCACCTCCTCCGTCTCCTCCTCCTCCTCCTCCTCCTCCTCCTCCTCCTCCTCCTCCTCCTCCGCGTCCTCCTCCTCCCCCTCCCCCTGGAGCTGACCGGCCAGGCGACCAAGCCGGTCAGCTCCGGGCAGCTCCTAAGCCCAGGGCAGCTGCTCCCAGCAGGCGGCGCACACTGCGTGGCTCGGTCTGCTCACGGCGCGGGCTCTGCCCAGCGCCGGTGCCTCGTGCGGCCGTCTCGCTGCCCTCCCCGTCGTGCACTCCCGTCCACCGGAGGGTTCCAAATGGGATTTTTTTTTGGGGGGGGGGCTTTCCAGGAGGGGTCCCCCCAGGGCTTCGCACCCCCTGTTCTGACAAGGTTCCGAGGCCCCTGGGGGGGCTCTCTGGAACACCCCCTCCCCAAGAACCCCCTTTGGAACCCTCCGGGTCCGGGCCAGGCCATCCCCGGGCACGTCTGAGCCGGAGCGCCCCGCCCTCGCCCCGCTACCCCAGCGTGGCCTCCCAGCTGGTGTCCGAGCAGGTGGGGTCGGAGGGCTTGCGCCGCAGCGTCGACGCATCGCCGATGCATGGGCGCTGCATCGGCGACGTTGACGATGCATCGGCGCCCTCGGCGTGGAGAAAGTTGGGCTCCACACCGAGCCGCATCACCGACACATCGGCAATGAGGCGCGACCCTCAGGCACCGTCTGGGAGAGGCCCCGAGCCGCGCGCGCAGGCGGCGGCAGCCCACGCGCGTGGGCGCAGCAGCGGCGTCCGTGGTGGCCTCCTTCCGTGCTGCGGGGTCGCCCCGACCCCACCGCGGCTGGACGCCATCGGACTCGGCCGCATCCTCCGGCGAGCATGTGGGGTGTCATCGCCAGCGAGCGGCTCGCTACCTCCCATCCCATGCTGCCAACGCGCTCCTCCCCATCGACTCGACCTGTTCGGCGCACGGCCACCGGTGGCTCGCAGCCGCTTTCACGGGGGGGGTTCGACCATGACTGCACAGGCTTCTTCGGAGCAGCCACAGCAGATGCACTGCGTGCAGAGGGCAGTGCCGCTTTGAGCGCAGCCCGCCATGGTATGTTGCCTGTGATTGGACGCTTCAGCGCGTCGGAGGCAAAAACGTGCAGATGCGTGTGCAAATGCGTACGTTTGTGCTCGAACGGGGGATCGGGGTTGTGCACCTGTTTTCAGCCCCTCCGGCCTGCTTCCACCGCTTGCTGTCCTCGCCATCGCCCGTGCCCGGGGGCGCATCGTCGAAAGACTGCGCCGCGGGGCGGAAGGCAGGCCACGTCAGCCTTCTGGATCCTGAAGGCGCTCCCGAACAGTCGGTAGTCAACGCCCTTATCCTGGTCGGTTCATCATCTTCGCCGTCTGCAACCTCATACGCTGATACGCTCCGCAGACGATCAAGAACCTCCTGGGCACCTCCGCCGACATGCGCGCCTGCCATGCTTGTAAGCTACATACGAAGCTACAGTCATCAGCAATATCCGCGACAGGGGATTGAGCAAGAGACCCTGGCGATTAGGACAGCAGAGTTGACATAACGACGATATAGCGGATGCAGAGGCATTGGGATCGGCAACCACTCCTACATCGCGTTCGAAAGGGAGAGACTCACAAGAACGCGGGTATACATGCAAGGCTTCCAAGCTGTGAAGGTCACTTCGATGCGAGGAGGCAGCACGGAGAAGAGAAAGAGAAAATTCGCCGGCCCAACGGGCCAAGGGCGTGCTAAGATCGCTAACAATATTCTAGTTCGCGCGCGCGGGGCCGTCTCTGGGGGTCCCTGGACGAAAAGTACCCCGGGACCCCCCCGGGACACCCCCAGGACACTCGGATCAGAGATGCCAGACCGGGCAACTTTTTGACACCCCTCACAAGGATCGTGGCCTCCGAGGGGAGGGGCACAATCGACTACCCCCCCCCCTGACCCAAGAGGTCCCCAAGACTGCCCAAAAGGCCCCCGAGACGCCCAAACAGCGCTCCAAGACGCCGATGATGACCCCAAGACAGCCCAAGAAGCCTCCAAGTGGCCTCCAAGAGGCCTCACAAAAGGGCCCGAGAGGCCAAAATCCTATATGACCCGCTCTCTGGCCAGCACTTTTTGTCAGTCGAAGTGCAACGCTGGCGATTTATCATGCGGGACCCTGCGCACACGCTGGATGACGCCAGCGCAGGAACAGAGACTGAAATCCACAACAAAAAGTCTGTCGAGGCGAGGGCTGGCTTTGGGCGGACAGAAAAAGGCTTGAGAGACAGTGTCCATGGCGATCGTCAACATTACCATTGACATTAGCATGACCCGCTCTCTGGCCAGCACTTTTTGTCAGTCGAAGTGCAACGCTGGCGATTTATCATGCGGGACCCTGCGCACACGCTGGATGACGCCAGCGCAGGAACAGAGACTGAAATCCCGTAATCACGCCATTCATATGCAGTAAGCTGGCTAGCAAGACGATTCACAATTGGCTGAGCGTGGCCACAGCACGGCGATGGACTACATGAATGAGAACATCGCCGATGAACTTAAAAATCTCTGGGGGGTATGGCTCCGCAACCTTCGAGAGCCATTTACCCCCCATCTTCCCTCGGATGTGCACATGTTTACGACCAGTGAAAGAACAGAGCCCCCCGCGACCATGGCAGCGCTGGTGCGGGGCTTCGACCGTGCCACAGTGCTGAAAGACTAGCTTGGTTCTCTTGCGCATGGGCCCTCCAGCAGCACAGAAATCCACATCGACCACGGAGCCGCGAGCGAGAGCTCGGCGCCGAGAAGGAAAACGCCAGAGGATGGAGGTCTGTGGGTTCTCTTCGCCGCAGCAGATGCCCAAGTCCCAGGCGAGCTGCTGGAGGCGGCCTCCAGAGTCAATGAGACTATTGGCCTCGCGCACCTGTGCGCGGTGGCTAGCAGACAGGTCAGGCAAGCCACGGTAGTGCTCAGACGATCTCAGCGGCGGAGGCATGCGACCTGATCTGTCCGCGCGGGCACGAGATGTGGTGATACACGGAGTCGCAAACCAGAGGGCCCACACCAAGCCCGCACGAAGCCAGCCGGCGATGGTGAGCACCACCTCGCGCCGGCTGAGGTCGAACTGCGGCCCTTGCAGCTTGTCGAAGGCTATGCAGGCGTAGCCCTTGCGGCGAAGGTATTTGCTCACCGGCGCAGTGCCAGCAAAGAGGTCAACGAAGACGCTGTGCTTCAGCATGGTAGCATCTGCACGCGCCGCCCGCAGGCTGGCAGCAAGAGCCGGGCCAGCTCGCGCTCGCGGCGCTGCGCCTCCTCGCGGAGCTGCGCAGGGATGCGGTGCATCATCGAGGCCAGCCTGGCATGCTTCTCGTAGCGCCGCACGCTCTGGAACGAGCGCCAGCCGCCCCTCTTCTGAACGTCGAGCTCCGAGGCCCCCCCGTGACGAAGGGAGCACGGCGTCACCTTCAGCTGCGCCAGGCCCAAGCCGAGGAGGCAGCTGTTCCAGGCCAGGAGGAAGTCGGTGTAGTGGAACAAGAAGAGCCGCTCCCGCTCCCCCCTGTTGGCCTTCAGAAGGCGCAGCGCCGACTCCAGCAGGCGGTGGCGCGGCAGGTCCAGGGCGACGCTGGTGTCGAACTCGCCGGTCTTGCCAAGCACGTCTAGCTCGCTCGCGCGGATCAGGATGGTCCAGAACTGGCAGGCCCCCCTCTCGTTCGGCACGGGCGGCACCAGCTGTAGGCCGACGAGGCTGAGCGCCTCGCTCGGCCGCATGTACGTCTCGAACGTCAACAGCAGGAACAGAGCGTAGTCCGCCTTGCCGTCGGAGCAGAGTCGCAGGGCCATCAGCACAGCCAGCGACCGAGGGACTGGTGGGCGCGACAGCGGCTTCTCGAGCCGGCGCCATCCAGTGACCGCAGCAGTCGCCAGCGGCAAGCCCCGGCGCAGCGGACGCGGCAGCTCGGGCAGCGCCCAGCGCACTGCGGCCAGCGTGCTGGAGGCATCCCCCTCGGGCAGCCCGCGGTCGTGCAGGAACTCCACGTACTGCTCCAGCAACAGGTCCCACTCGCTTGCAGGGAGGCGCTGAGGGGCTCTGGGCACGTGCAGCCACGCCAGCAGCTTGCGCAGGGCGTTCAGGTAGTTGCTCTGCGTTGCCGTCGTCACGGCCGCGGCAGCCAGGGAGCTGATGTGGAACCCCAGCTCCTCCGCCTCCTCCGCACTGCGGGCGGCCGAGTGCAGCGATGAGCCCGGGCGCCGCCGCGCCGTCTCGCGGCGCAGCCGGCGCGCCGAGCCAGACTCCCCGCGATAGGGGACCAGGCGACCCGGCGCAGGTTGGCGGGCCAAGCCCAGGGGGCCAGCAGCAGCCAGCGCGCGGCAGGGCAGCCGGCCCGAGGCCGGCGCAGGCTGCAGAGGGGGCGGGCTGGCAGGGGAGGCGTGGCGGCGAGGCAGAGCAATGCCCTCCGGCCGCGGCCTCCCGAGAGCCACGCCGCCCCCCGTCTCCGGCGCCACCAGAGGGCGCAGCACCCGACTCGGGGCAGGCGGGGCCCGGCTCGGACTCAGGTTCGCCGCTGGCACCAGCACCCTGCAGAGCAGCGGGCTCGGGCCCAGGGAGCCCCGCGGCGAAGGGCCCCGCAAAGGCCCGCCGCTTGGAGCGCCCCGCCGCGAGCTGCTCGCGAAGCCCAGCAGCGCCCGCTGGCCCGTGAAGCCGCGCCTCGGCGAGCGCGATCGGCTGGGTGAAGGGCGAGTCGCCACAATCATCCTCGAGCCGAGGCGGCGGCTGGCGACCACGGTCAACGTCCGCTGGGCAATCCGCTGAGGGGGCAAGTGCGGTGTGAAAGTGACGAGCATGATGAGACGAAGATGGGTCGTATCTCCTGCTGGGCTCGTCCGCCGAGTTCCACTCTGAAGGAATCCACCGAAAAGAAACACGTGCTCCAAGGGCCAAGCACATGGCACAAAACTCGCGGCACCTCCGCAGCAGGTACCACGAAGAGCTCCGCCCCTTGCACGAGGTGAGGACCCAGGCCATAGAGTCCGACAAAACTAAGTGCCGCTTCTGGGCGCTCAGGCGGCTGCGGGCCAGCCGCCGAACCTGCCGCAAGGCTGCCTCCGCCTCGAGCGCGAGGATCTTGTCCTTGCGCCTCCAGCGGCGGGCAGCCACCACGCCCCAGTCGTCCCCGCGCGCCAGGGCCGACGGCACCTCCTCGAAGGCGGAGCGCAGCCCCAGCGCACGCAGCTGCTCGGGCGAGGCGTCGACAATGTCGCTCAGCGAGGGCTCAGCCTCCTCACCCTCGACCAGGCAGCGCGGGCGGCGGGAGGTGCGCAGCGCCCCACGGCACCGTCCCCGCTCTGAGGCGCGGCCGACGCGACCCACCTCAGCGGGGGGCCAGGCCTTCTCGGTGACGCCAAAGCCATGCAGCGAGGCGTCCACCGAGGCGACGGCGGGAGACCAGGGTAGGCTCATGTCGGCGACGGCGAGCGGCAGCAGCGCCCAGGCAGCTCGAAGCTCGCGCCGAACTGAAGCCCACACGCGCGCCGGCTGCCCGAAGTAGCGGTCGGCGAAGACGTACACGGCCGAAAAGATGGACAGCATCTCTGGCCGCAGCAGCATGATGGCCGAGGCGTGGCCGACGGCCCGGGCAATCTGGCGCCCTGTGCGGCGCTGACGGCCCCAGCCCAGCGTGCGGAGGGCCAGCGCGACCTTCCAAAACTTCCTCGCCGTAGGCCGCCACTGCGTGCCCGTCGGGTCCAGCTCGAACCCGAGCAGCGGGGCGCCAGCAGGCTCTGGCGCGGCGTCCACTCCCGCGGCCGCCACGGCGCCCAGCATATGCTCCAGGCGAGCGTTCGCCTCCGTGGGGCTCGTGCCAAGGGCCGCGAAGTTGTCGATGTAGATGAGCGAGGCCCCCGAGCCAGGGCAGACGGGCTCGCGAGGCACGTACTGGGCCAGCCAGCGGTCCGCCGGGGCACAGGGTCGAAGGATCTCCATCATGGCATGCTGTATGAAGTAGACCGCCCATGACCAGCCCATCGGCACCACTCTCAGGCGCAGGCGCACCAAGCCGTCCGGCGGTGGCGCCCCAACGAGCCGACGAGCGGCAAGCGGCAGTGCGGCCCAGGGCACAGGCGGTAGGCCAAAGGCCTCACGCAGGTGCACTGGCAGCAAGAACTGGTAGAAGCAGCACGTGACGTCGCCCTGCGCGACGAAGAGGCGCCCCCCCGCCTGCAGCTCGATGCTGCCGAGGGCCTGCGCCGCAGCCAAGGGGACGTAGTCGGGCTCCGCGAACTCTGTGTTGGAGGCCCTTGTGTCGAAGATCAGCCTGAGGGCCCCATCCTTCTTGTAGACGAAGAAGGGCGCCACCCGTGAAAACGAAGTGCCCACCTCGAGCATGTCACGCTCGAGGAGGTCAGCCAAAAACTTCCCATAAGTGCGAGGATTGCTTGCCAGCCTTCGGTCAAAAGCCAATTTCGCCAACGAAGAAGAAGATGTGGAGCCTCTCATCAGCAAAGTGCCAGACTCACCCATCAGCAGAGAACGTGGACCCGCCGGCAGTGCAGCAGCTAGCTCCACCGCGCCAGAGGCCACGCGCGGAAGAGAGACCTTCCCGCGCTGGTAGGAGGCGTACTTCCCGCTGGCCATGTCATCGAAGCCATAGCCAGGATCGGAGCCGATCACGGCGCGCGTGGCCGAGTCGGCGGTCAGGTCCGACGGGCAGCTGGGCACGGTGGCGTAGGAGCTGCGAAGCCGCTCCAGCGCGTCAGTCTGAGGACCAGAGGCTGCTCCAGTCCGTCGAACAGCACCGCGCCCTCCCATCTCATTGAGGGTCTGCAGACCAGCCGAGAACCACTCCAAGCCCAGCGCATCCCCTTGACGCAGCACAGGCGAGGTGGGCGCTGGCAGCGGCAGCAGGTCCCTGGGATCTGCCGCAAGACCTGGCGGCATAGCGGCGGCGCAAGCGCTCAGCCGCCTCCCCTGGTGGTGTAGAAGCGGCGCCCAGCCGGGGGGACTCCGGGGCCGCTGCAGGGTAGCACGGGCGAGGAAGGCGTCAGCCCTGCCCCCCCGAGCCAGCGCCCGGGGTGCCAGTCTGCCAGTCCTTGCCCTTCTTGTTGTCCTTGAGCTTCTTCTTGTGGTCGGCGCCGAGCGGCTGGCCAGCTCCGCCGCCGCCGCCGCCGCCGCCTGTGGCCGCCGCCGCCAGAGCCCGTTCCTCACGGCCCTTGCGGCGCTCCTTGAGCACGGCGGCCTGCTCCTCCATGCGCTTCGCCACCCAGCGCTCCAGCTCGGGCGAGATGAGGGCGTAGCCCTTGGCGCGGTCGCCGCCGAGGAACAAGTGCCTCTCGGCCGCGAGGCCCGCCGCCACCGAGCCCTCCGTGGAGGCGCGGATCCGCTCCTGGTACCGCTCCTCCCAGAGCTGGTAGCGGCGGGCCATGCTCTCGAAGCAGGCCAAGTTGCAGATGTTGAGCTGGTCATACTGCAGCCCATGCTGGATGCACTCCGAGAGGAAGAGGTGCTCGTCGATCCCCGGGTCCGACGTGGTCGCCCCAGGCGCCTGCCTCCACCAGTGATGGCGAGGCACGGGGGCCATGCCGCTGTGGGCAAAGGCCTCGATGAGCCACTGCACCGTGCGCGGGCCCTCCACAGGCCAGGCGTCGTCCAGGACCTCCTCGCGCAGCATGTGACGAGCTGACTCGAAGCTGCGCGTGCGCTCGCCGCGCACGTTGTACTCGACAGCCAGGGTGCGAAGGTCCTCCGCCGCGGCCGCCTCGCCCTCGCCAGCTGGCAACGGCGTCGGCGGGTCGCGGCAGAGGCGGTACCAGACTCCCTCCCGGCACAGCAGGGCCTGGCCAGAGACGCCGAATGCGAGGTCCGAAGGGCGGATGGTGATGCTCTCCCCGCGTCGGCGGGGACCCTGGTTCTCGCCGACAAACCACTCGGAGCCCACGAGGCAGGCGTGAGCCACCAGCGCGCCGGGGTCATAGAAGCCCGGGTCGACGTCGGCGGCTGGCACCAGCGAGCCAGGCGCGGGGGCAGACATCGCGCCAGCGTCAGCAAGGGGCGCGGGCACCCGCCCTCCTCCCTCGGCCGCCGGAGGCGCGCCAGCCCAGCCAGCCAGGTAGGCCTCGGCTCTCCGCCGGAAGGCGCTGGCGTGAGCGATGTCCCCCGGGCGGAAGGCGTAGCGGAAGATCTTCGGCCCGTAGAGCCGGCTCGGGATGCCGCCAGCCACACCACTAGGCAGAGCAGCCTCGTAGTCCTCCAGCAGCTCCTCGTAGACGTCGCCGTCGGGCGTGAGCACCACGTGACCTCCGACGGTGCGCCGCAGCACCAGGCGCTCGTGCCGGACCCCCTCCGACGCGTCGAACAGGGCCCAGAAGCGCCTTCCGGCGGCCACCGCGAGGTCATCTGCCATCAGGCGGACGGTGGTGCCCCACCCTCAAGCCTGCCGCGAGCTCCAGCCGGCAGCGTCAGCTGCTTGATCCCTTCCAGCCCTGCGGCCACCACGACCGGCGACGCCGGCCTCGGTGGCGCCCACCAGCGGGCCGCGAACCAGCCCGTCACGAGCTGCCCCGCCGCGACGGCGAGCAGCTGGGCGGTGGACCAGCCAGGAGACCCGCAGTCGCACTGGCAGCCGCAGATGGGCGCCGGCGGCGCGGAGCGGGCCAGCAGGCAGAATGAGCCTATGGAGAAGGCACAGGCGATTGCGGACGGGTCGACCGGCATCCTTGTCCGGACAGAAAAAGGCTTGAGAGACAGTGTCCATGGCGATCGTCAACATTACCATTGACATTAGCATTTTACGATGGTTTGGGAAGGATTTTGGCCTTGTCGCCTGTTCGGCCATCCGATGCTCCAAGACGGCCCAAGAGACCCCCAAGAGCGCCCCAAGACGGGCCAAGAGGCTTCCATGAGGACCCCAAGAGGGCCCAAGAAGGCCCCGAGACGGCCCAAGAGGCGCCCAAGACGGCCCAAGACGGCCCCAAGACGGCCCCAAGAGGGGGACCACGAACCGAAAACTCGAGCCTTCCGCCCCAAGAGGGCCACAGGAGGCCCCGAGAGGCCCCCAAGAGGCCCCCAAGAGGCCCCAAGATGCCGCCAAGAGGCCCCCGAGAGGCCCCAGGAGGCCCCCAGGAGGCCCAAAAGAGGCCCCACCCAAGAGGCCCCAGAAGTTCAAAAAGTGCCTCCCAGGCGCCCTCGAACGGCTTCTCAAAAGATCCCAAGAGGCCTCCCAAAGAAGCATCTTGACGACGACCCTGTTTGGCCCCAAGAGCAACACAAGATGCCAACGAGAGGCTTCCTCCTCCGCCCCTTCCCCTTCCTCCTCCTCCTCCTCCTCCTCCTCCTCCTCCTCCTCCTCCTCCTCTCCTCCTACTTATCTTCATCCTCCTCCTCCTTCTGATCCTCTCCTCCTCCTCCTCCCTCCTCCTCCTCCTCCTCTCCTCCTCCTCCTCCTCCTCCTCCTCCTCCTCCTCCTTCATCCTCCTCCTCTCCTTCTCATCCTCTCCTCCTCCTACCCTCCCCTTCCCCTTCCCCATCCTCATCTTCCTCCTCCTCCTCCTCCTCCTCCTCCTCCTCCTCCTCCTCCTCCTCCTCCTCCTGCTCGGCGGCACCACAATGGCCCTGGGCCCACGGCGAAGCAGTAGCGATCATGCAACATGGGCCGGCGGAATGAGCGAAGCGATTGAATAATCAAACCTGGCGGCGACAGGGGGAGGCGGAGGGGGGAAGGGAGGGAGGGGCAAGCTGGGTGCGCTGGCGCCAGATCTGGCATCCTACCCCTCCCGCTCATCCCTTCCCATGACGTTGATGCTTTCTCTGTCCGCCGACGCGTGCCATAGCGAACCTGGGGTTCCAGAAAAAGATCCCACCGTATCATGCGCAATCGGAAAAAAAGGGAGCTGCGCAAAGCGGAAAGATGATCAGGAGGAATGGGAGGAGGAAGGGGAGGAGGGAGGAGGAGGAGGAAGAAGAAGGACGAGGGAGGAGGAGGACGAGGAAGACGAGGAAGGATAATGACGAAGAGGACAAAGAGAACGAGGAAGGAGAAGGAGGACGAGGAAGGTCGAGGAAGGGGAGGATGAAGGAGGAGGGAGAACGAGAGGGGGAGCAGCAGCAGCGGCAGCAGGAGCTGGACCGTGAAATGCGTGAGGTAGCAGGATGACCAGGCGGGCGGCGGTGGAGGGGAAAAGAAGAGCGGCGCGACGACGACGGCGAGGCAGTAGGATCCAGAAAGGTAGTCCTTTTGCTGGCGCGTGGGCGCCACTCCGAACGATGGAAGCAGCAGCAGCAGCAGCAGGAGCTGGAGCGCGACATGCGGGAGGCAGCAGGATGACCAGGAGAAGGCGGGGGAGGGGGAAAATAATAGCGGCACGACGGCGCACCGCGCTTCCCGGGCGGTGCCGGCCACTCTGTCCTGAAAAGGGCAAGGAAGGGAGGCATGCGAGGCTGGCAGCGGCGGGCGCGTGCGCCTCCTGCCCCAGGTCCAGCATATCCTTGCCGTGGCCAGCTCTCCGGGCCGAGGGAAAACGATGGGGGGCAGAGTGGCCCTCCTCCTCCTCCACCTCCTCCTGCGTCGTCGATACTCCTTCCTGCTCTTCCTCGTCAGTCGTTGTCGCCCCTGCTCCTCCTCCTCCTTTTCCTCCTCCTCCTCCTCCTCCTTATCCTCCTCTTCCTCCTCCCCCTCCTCCTCCTCCTCCTCCTCCTCCTCCTCCTCCTCCTCCTCCTCTCTTCCTTCTCCTGTTCCTCCTCTCCTCCTCCTCTTCTCTCCTCCTTTTCCTCCTCCTCCTGATCCTCCTCCCCCTCCTCCTGCGCCTCCGCCTCCTCTTCCTCCTCCGCTTCCTCCTCCTCCTCCTCCTCCTCCTCCTCCTCCCCTCCTCATTCTGCTCATCTCCTCCTCCTACCCCCTCCTCCTCCTCCCTCCTCCTCCTCCTCCTCCTCCTCCTCCTCCTCCTCCTCCTCCTCCTTCTCCTCTTCTTATTGTTATTATTAGTAGTATTAGTAGTATTATGTTTCTTCTTTATATTATTATTGTGTGCTTCTTATTAGTATTCGTCTTCTTATTACTATTTCCAGATTATTCAGGGAATATGCTGAAACCATCGCGAACGCTTGGCGCGCGCTCAAGTTCTCCGAAATCCCAGCTCGCACTGAGGTGCCGAGAACTGGGCGACGGTTGCGGATATGGCTTCGGCCCGAATGCATTGCGGAAACAAGTAGTGAAGAGCCCTTCCCTGAGCACGGGGGACTCCAGGAGGACGACGAAGAGAACGAAGGAGGCGGTTTGGAGGTCGAGAGAAGGGGAGAAGAGTTCAGGAGCATGACGGCGGCAAAGGCGAGAGCAGAACGCGAAGGAGGGGCAGAAGCAAAAGTAAAAGTGGAGTCCTTGGAGACGAACAGGAGGAACACGGGAGCGAGGGGGGAGGGGGTGGTGCGAGGCGGGGGCAGGCGAGGATGAGATGGCGGGGGGAGAGGTGATGTGGGGAGACGGGAGAGTGAATGACACGCCCGTGCTGCAAGGCGCGCGCGCGAGCCTATTGTGCACTGTGGAAGCAATGCAACGAGCGGCAATGCGGTGATAGTGGGCCGTTCGATGGGGATGCCGTCGTCCAGTGCAGCGCGCCATAGCACATGGAAAACACGCGGGGCACTACACTACGCAACTCAAGTGAGCGCATAGCGGCGCACGTAACATAACATGATGGACGCGCGCACAGCATGACATGTCGAATTCAACGCATGCAATCCGCCGGCCCCCTTGTGGGGCCACCAGGCTGCGAGGCGCGTGATTCGCAGTTTCCTGTACCAGTCGTAGGTTGTAGTTTCCAATGTTACAGTTCTGCTTCTTGCTGGTTACTGTAACTAGTTGACTTCTTGCTGGTTACTGTAACTAGTTTATTGACCGCGCGAGGGGGGGGAGGCCCAAACAAGACTTTTAGCCTCACCTGGGCGCGTTGTCTGAATTGCTGGGGGGGCTCGAAATCGACACCCCTCACGCAGATCCGCGGGGTCAGGGTCCAAAAACACATGGGATTTGCCACATTTCTGAAATTCGGTGCCACCCCTCACGCAGATCCGCGGGGTCAGGGTCCAAAAACACAGGGGATTTGCCACATTTCTGAAATTCGGTGCCACCCCTCACGCAGATCCGCGGGGTCAGGGTCCAAAAACACATGGGATTTGCGACATTTCTGAAATTCGGTGCCACCCTCACGCAGATCCGCGGGGTCAGGGTCCAAAAACACATGCCAATTCGAACCATTCGAAAATTCGGTGCCACCCCTCACGCAGATCCGCGGGGTCAGGGTCCAAAAACACAAGGGATTTGCCACATTTCTGAAATTCGGTGCCACCCCTCACGCAGATCCGCGGGTCAGGGTCCAAAAACACAGGGATTTGCCACCTTTTGATTCGGCGCAACCCCTTACGCAGATCTTCGGGGTCAGGGTCCAAAAACACAGGGATTTGCACATTTCTGAAATTCGGTGCCACCCCTCACGCACATCCATCGCAAGGCGTGGTAACCCAAACTGCGAGTACTCCCTCGGCCCTTTAATCCCAAGGTGTGGTAACCAAGCTCGTAAACCATACACGTCTTATCAATCGCCCTGTGTGGTAACCCCTCTTGTGATCAGTTGGTTTTGCCGATTGCGAATCGGCCTCGCATGAAGTTCCGATACTGCTGCACGACAGCGCCAAAGCCTCATGACTTAGCTCTTCCATGGCCCATTCTCCAAGAGAGGGGGCCGGCGGCAGGGGGCGAAGCCCTTACGGATAACACGCCCAACGTACCTTTCTGGAAGATTACCCAAACGACTGCCGCTGCAAAACGAAGAGCCTGCCGCACTGGGCAGCCAAGGCATTTCGGAGGTGCCTGCGGCCTTCTGCACATCCTGCCACCGAGCCTGGGTTGTTGGTGTGAGACTTCGTGATGGTTGTTCGCGTCTTTGGGGAAACCCGTGGACAACCTGTTGGAAACAATGGCGAAGCCTCTTGAGACGCTTTTCCGGGCCTCTTCGGGGCCTCTTGTGGCGGGGGTCTTGGGGGCCTGCTGGCGATCTTCCGGGCCCTCTTGGGGCCGAGGCCTCGAAATATGGGTTCGCATTCCCCCCCCCACCACGAGCCCCTCCTGGGGCCTTCTTGGGCGGCCCTCGGTGCCTCTTGGGCCGTCTTGGGGCCCTTTTGGACCGTCTTGGGGCCCTCTGGGGGGCCTCTTCGGCCGTTGAGGGGCTCTCCTCAGGGCCTCTGAGCCCGTCTTGGACGCTGGGCACGTGAACAAAAACGATTGCGATGAAGATGTGCGCTTTCCCACGGGAACGGGGCGAATTTGCATCTTCGGGTTACGTCGAGGGTCCTCTCGGAGCCGTCTTGGGGCATCCTGGGGGCCACTCAGGGCGGAAGCCTCGAAATGTGGGTTCCAAGTCCCCCCGCGGGGCCCCTGTTGGCGCTCTCTTCGGCCGCCTTGGGTGGTCCTGGGTGCCCCTTGGGCCGTCCGTTTCCACCCCATGACGCGGGTGTCCATGGTGGACGCGCGAAGGCCAAACCATCATTCCTGTACACTGCACGGCTGGCCCCCATGGTTTCCTGCCTCTACTAAGTAAAAGAGACTAAAGTCAAGCATGTCATCGAAATCGCCATCGTTGAAACTTACAACGGAATGAATGGCGAACCCAACTCTAGCTGAAAATGTGTACTGCGTGGGTCCCACTTGGCCCGTCATGGGCAACTGAACCCGTCTTGGGGCCCTCTCCGACCATGTAGGGATCCTCCCGTGACCCCCTCGGCTCCCCTAAGGACTCTCTTGGACCGTCTTGGAGCTATCTCGTGCTGCTAAAAGCACTCTGCAGGCCGTCTTGGCGCCCTCCTGGGGGCCTCTTGGGTCGTCTTGGGCCGACTTGGGGAGCCTTTGGGGCCGTCGTGGCCGCTGTTAGGACTGGAAAATTGATTTTCCCGGAAATCTATGTTTTTCCATCAGAGATAATTGATTTTCCCTTTGGGGTGGGGCTTCTCGGCGGCATCTTGGACCGTCTTGAGGGAATCCTTTTGATCCTTTTTGGCCCGTCTGGGGGGCCATTTGGGCCATCCCGGGTGCCTCTTGGCCCGTCATGGGGAGCTGAGCCCGTCGTGGGACCCTCTTGGGGCCCTCTCCGACCATGTAGGGATCGTCCTTGTGCTGCTTGAAGCTCTCTTCAGGCCGTCTTGGCGCCCTCTGGGGGGCCTGTTGGGCGGTCTGTGGCCGATTTGGGGGGCCTTTGGGGCCGTCGTGGCCGCTGTTAGGATTGAAAGCATGAATCTGCTGAAAAGCTGTTTTCCCATCGGGAATGCTTGATGTTTGCCCTTGGGGGGCCTTCTCGGCGGCCTCGTGGACCGTCTTGAGGGCCGTTGTGGCCGTCTAGGAGCAGTCTGGGGCTGTCGTCGAGCGTTCGTGGTGCCGTCTTGAGGCCATCTCAGTGCGCTCTTCAGCCATCTTGCAGACAATCTGGAGCGCTTTGTGAGCCTCTTGGGCCAGCTTGGGAGCTTCTGGACAGGTCCGGGGCCCCTTCTGGGCCCCCTTGGAGCCCTCAAGACCCCCCGAACCCGCCAAACAACATCTCACTATCTAATCACCGGGACCCGGAAAAGTGAACAGGCTCAACAGTTCGCGCGCAAACACAGAGTCACGCAAACAGTAAAACGCACGAGCGGCACGCATCTAACGTGAGGACGCTTCCTCACCTTAGGCATCCACCACCAACCCATTCCATACATTCATCCTGTTCTATCATGAACAGTCACCGATATCGCGTCACGCAGTCGCGCTGCTTATCCCATCCTCCCACTGACATTCTATTGCAGGACGAACGAGCTCCTCGCATTGTGGACCCTCTGGCTCGAACTGCCCCAGCGACGGTCGCCACACCTTTCAGGGAGGAGCCGCATCCGTCCCCACGCAACAAAGCTATCCTCGCGATCCGAACGACTACCAGCCCATCGCCACCACCAGGAAGACTTGCACGACTTGAAAAATCACGACACTGGTTAGCATCAGGAAGACTGCGGCGTGTGCTACGACGCCTGATGTTACTGGCAATACTGCTATATTTGCACTGGGGCATACAAATGCTCTGGCAGCTGTCAAGACTGGCGCAACCACAACTCCTGCATGCCCTTCCACTGGTCCTGATACTGATGCTAACACGAATTTCGCTCTCACCTTGCGACCACCTCTGCCAATCCAACAAAACCCTCACCAATACAGCATTCACTACACACCATCTTCTCCCCACTGTGCTGATGGGTGCTGCGAACCGCCCTACAGCCTACGTCGTGGCCGTGAGGAGGAAGAGGAGGAGGAGGAGGAAGAGGAGGAGGAGAAAGGGGGGAGGAGGAAGAGGAGGAGGGGGAAGAAGAGGAGGAGGGTGGGGGGGAGCGTTCAGGCCGGGGGCGGGAACACATGCGGCTCCCGGGAACGGGAAACCTCGCCACTGTGCCAGCGCAGAACAGAAACGGAGATGAGGTTCACTACCTGATGGCTGACCCGCTGAGTTCAGACGACAGGGCGCTGAACTGGACCGCGTTTTGATCACCCTCTCTTTGCCCGCAGCCTCGTTCTCCTCTTCCTTACTCCTCGTTCATTTTCCTCCTCCTCCTCCTCGCTTCTCCTCCTCCTCCTCATCCTCTTCCCTCCTCCCTCTTGAGGGATACTTGAGAATCGTCTTGGAGCATCTGAGGGCCGTCTTGGGATCCTTTGGGGGTCTGTTGGGGACCTAGTCTTGGGGCCTCTGGCGTGTAGAAGAAAATGGGCCCAACAAGCCTCGGCAACCGTGCCGTCAACAGGACGTGGCCCTTTTCATGTGATACTCGTCCCCAGAGTATATGTGTTATGTTGCGTCCTCATCCCCAAAGTCCCTAGAAACAAAGACGGCCAGAAACGCACAACACAAATACGTCAACATAAGCGAGCTATTCGAAATAATGGTGCAGGAGTTCCACAAAACAATGCTGACAAAATGTGCGGGGACCGCAATTACTGTGACCCACATACCGTGGTAAATTGAATGAACTATGAAACTCGTTGCTGCCTGGAGCTAAGAACATCCGCCCGGTGTGAAGCGTGATCACACAGGAAAGGGGCCTCCTCCGCGCGTAGGACGCTGAACACGGCCGCCGCCGACGCGACATATCCGACAACCTTACAATGCATCTTCAGCACCACGAACCCAAGCATTCGCAGTGTGAAAGTCGCGACGGCGTGCAAGGCCCTGGCAGACTGCATCGAGCCAAACACCAACCAGGTAGGTGGATCCCGTGCGGCCGCAACCTGAACTACAGAGTTGCAAAAAGACTTGTTCACGATCGCGTTGGCGTGGCTATATTGACGCCTGCTCTCGGCAAAAGCATCTCAGTGCAAGTCGGCAACACCGCGTCAGCAGTGCGTGCCCCAAACGCGTGATCGATGTCGACGACGGCCACCTGCAGTTGACCACACCGGCGATGACCACAACGCCAGTTCTGGACGTCTGGCGACACAGAAAACCGTTCTAGCATGCTTTCGGCCACCTGCCCAGCGCACCCCCATACTGAGTTCGTCCGTTGCGCAACCCCAGTCTACGAGATTACCGCGGATGGCATGGTCGACATTCTCCAAGAGCGTCAACATGTAATCAAAACGTAATCAATGATTCGGCGAACGCAGGAATGCATTGGTCTTCATAAGATGAGATAGCCGCAGTCCTAATAGTATATGCCCCGAATAAATGGCAACAAATCATGTGAAGGCTCGTCGCTGCAATTGCCACCACGGAGAACGCGCGCAGTCCAAGCAATGCGCACGCCCTCGTCCAGAATTGAACCTAGCGAGCTGTCACGTCACCCCGCACCGACCACCCTGAGCCCACAGTCGCTGTGAGAAAGAGCTCGGCCAAGCCTCACCAGCGACGCGGCTATCCCCGACCATCTCCCTCTCTCTCTCTCTCTCCCTCTCTCTCTCTCTCTGGAGATATATAGTATGCCTCGTGAGGTTGTCGCTCTGCAGCTTCCCGCTTGAGAGGGATGAAATGCCTCAGCCTTTGTCGCGATAAGGCTGCCCGCCAAGCTCGGTGAGCACGCGGATGAACGCGAGTGGCAGACACCAAGCGTTCTAAGATGTATAGAACTGCCGCTCAATAGCATTGGCTGCCAACTAGATCGGCAAGCGCCACAAACTCAGAACAGCTCAGAATTAGAACAAACTCAGAACAGCTCTTGGCGCCAACCACGAGCCACATGATAAAGATGTGCGACTGTACCCTTGTCAGTGCTCGACATAACCATCTTTAAATTGACTTTGGAGTTCAATGATGCACGTTCCAACGGAAAGATCTGGATACGGCGGCCAGGCCCTTTCGAGCATGGTAACGTTTGAACAAATTCGGGGGCGCGCAAACATGGATCGGGGAGATGCCCTCCCCAAAATGCGTTCGGCACCGCCTCGCTCGGCGGCGGAAATCCGCGATGTCCCATGGAAACGGGACCCGTCGATAATCCACGCCCACCTCATCCATGTTTGCGATCGCCTGACAAATACAACGGCGGAGAACGTGACACGCCACGTCATGTGGACTGCACTCAGCAGACAGCGACGATCCCGAAGAGGTGCTACGGTGAGGGGAGGAGCGCGACGAATCCGCAGTGGGCAATCGATCGTCCTCCTCCGATGGGCGACGAATCAGGAATGCTGGAAGCAGCGCGCCCATTGGGAGGAGGCAGGATGAGGAACGAAGATGAAGCACGACGCTCAGGGTTAAGTAGTAGGGTGAATTAGGAGATGGTGAGGTGGAAGCTCCGGCCCAGCACGCGGCTGGTGGACGGGTCCTTCCCCTCCTTGAGCTACCTGGGAGACTTTTCTCCGTCCTTGTCGCGGGGGGTCCCGTGGCAGGGACCCCCAAGCGAATCCTCGCAATGGGCAGCGCGCCCATTGGGAGGAGGAGCAGGATGAGGAAACCGAGGATGGGCACACCGAGCATTCCTCCATTGGTGGAACCACACCTCCAACGGCCATTGCGCACGCAACGATGAAACTCCAGTAGGCCTTTGTTCGGACCCATGTTGCCAGCAAGCGAGAGCGCGAAAAAATGCAGACAGTGCCCTGAATGTTGGAACCGTACCTAGGCAAGGCCACTGCTTCGGAAGTGGTCTCCAGTGGACCTGCGCACGGCGGGGCCGAAACAAAGCGCCTCTTGTCGACATCGCCTGTCTGCCGCCGCGTCCGCCGAATTCACGGACTGCTCACCACGCATGGTCAGCAAGGAGACGGTAGCCAAAAAGCACGGCCTTCAGAAGTCAACTCCGCGAGCGGTGTAATGCACTCCTCCCGCCTCCCTCCTCCTTTCCTCTTTTCTCCGTCACTCTCCTCCTACTCCTGCTCTTTCCCTTCCTCTTCCTTCCCTTCCTCCTCCCTCCTCCATCCCGCCTCCCTGCTCCCTCCCTCCTCCTCCTTCTCCTCCTCCTCCTCCTCCGCCTCCTCCTCTTCCTCCCCTCCTCCTCTTCCTCCTCCTCCTCCTCCTCCTCCTCCTCCTCCTCCTCCTCCTCCTCCTCCTCCTCCTCCTCCTCCTCCTCCTCCTCCTTGCCTCCTCCTGCTCCTTGCCTCCTCCTTGCCTCCTCCTCCTCCTTGCCTCCGCCTCCGCCTCCTCCTCCTCCTCCTCTTGCCCTTCTCGATTCCTCCTCACGCGGTGCTATCCTCGTCCCTCCTCCTCCTCCTCCGCGTCTTCTCCTCCTCCACCTCGTCTCTCTCCTCCTCCTCCCTCCAACTCCCCTCGTCCTCACCCCTTATCCTCCTCCTCCTCGTCCCTCCTCCTCCTCCTCCGCCTCCTCCTCCTCCCTCCTCCTCCTCCTCATTTCCTCCTCCTCCTCGTCCTCCTCCTCCCTCTTCCTCCTCCTCCTCCTCCTCCTCCTCCCCCTCCTCCTCCTCCTCCTCCTCCTCCTCCTCCTCTCCTCCTCCTCCTCGTCCTCCTCCTGGTCCTCTCCTGGTTCCCTCCTCCTCATCCTCCTCGCTCCTCCTCCTCCTCCTCCTCCTCCTCCTCATCCCTCATCCTCGTCCTCCTCCTTCCTCCTCGTCCGCCGCTTCCTTCTCCTCCTCTCGCCTCCTCCTCCTCTCCTCCTCCTCCTCCTCCTCCTCCTCCTCCTCCTCCTCCTCCTCCTCCTCCTCCTCCTCCTCCTCCTCTGCCGCCTCTTCTTCTTATCAGTATTACTGTGTTTCGTTTACTTCGTACCATGTGTATTATGTTTTTGATATGATTATTAATGGTAGTATTATTAGTCGTTGCATGATTGCTAGTTGTCTTAATATTCGTATTTTTCATTGTGTCATGAGTCTCTTCTTCTTATGAGTAATAGTAATATTATTAGTATTAGTCGTATTAGGTTTCGCCTTTTTTCTTATGTTTATTATACTCATTCGTATTAGGCAGATTATTGTTATTAGTAGTAGTATTATTAATAGTCTTCATATGCGCCTTAGTAGTACTAGAATTTCTTGTGGTCGTTATAACTGTCTTCTTAGTCGTCTTATTATTCTTCGTATCAGCATTGATTTGCTTCTTAGTTGTATCATTATTCGCGTTAGGTATTATTAGTTTTACGAGTTGTAGTATTATTCTTAATGTTGGTAGTATTCGTCTTAGTCTTTTCTTATTCGTATAAGTCGTATGATGAGTCTTATTCGTATTAGTCTGATTCGTCTTATGACGTTTATTACTCTTATTATTATAGTTAGTCCTGTCATTACGATTCTTCTTATGTCTCTAAATGTTTGTAATACTATGTTTAGTAGTATTCTTCATATTATTCTTATTATGTTTATTGGTATGTTTATTCCCCAATCAGAGCTTGCCTCTGTAGGGGTCCTAGCGGATTCATATGGTCAGGTTAGGTTTGCCGCCGATTTTCGCGGCACGCCTGGGTGCCCGGGTGCCCGGGGGTGCCCGGGTGCCCGGGGCCCGGGGGTGCCCGGGTGCCCGGGTGCCCGGGTGCCCAGGTGCCCAGGCGTGCCCGGGGGTTCCCGGGGGTGCCATATAGCCCTATAGCCCTATAGCCCAATAGCCCAACAGCCCTATAGCCCTGCAACTCTATCTGAGGTGAGGGGGTGAGATCGAAGTGGAACGGAGAGCCCCCCTACCGGGAAATCGGTTTCAGTGTCGTGTTCGTGCGTGCTGTGCGTGCGGGCGAGGCGAAGCTGCGTGGGCGGGCGAGAAGAAAGTCTCCTCCGGCTGAGGCGCGGCCGGACCAAATGATTCCTTTCCGGGGCCGCTGGCCCGCGGTGCCCCGCCGGTGTCCCGCCTCTGACTGAGGCGCCTCCAGACCAAGTGATTCCTTCCTGGGGGCCGGTGGCCCGCGGTGTCCCGCCAGGGTCCCGCCGGTGTCCCGCCGGTGTCCCGCCGGTGTCCCGATGATGATGATGATGATGATGATGATGATGATGATGATGATGATGATGGTGATGATGATGATGGTGACGCTGATGGTGATGGTGATGGTGATGGTGATGGTGATGGCGATGATAATAATGATAATGATGATGATGATGATGATGATGATGATGATGTCGATGATGTTGATGATGATGATGGTGGTGATTAAGAAGGTGTCCCGATGATGATGATGATGATGATAATGATGATGATGATGATGATGATGTTGATGATGGTGATGATGATGATGATGGTGATGGTGGTGATGATGGTGTCCCGATGATGATGATGATGATGATGATGATGTTGACGATGATGTTGCTGATGATGTTGATGATGGTGTCCCGATGATGATGATGATGATGATGATGATGATGATGATGATGATGATGATGGTGGCGTTGATGATCATGATGATGTTGATGATGATGATGAGATGATGATGAGATGATGATGATATGATGATGAGACGTTGATGATGATGAAGATGATGATGATGATGGTGTCCGGATGACGGTGATGATGATGATGATGATGAGGTTAATGATGATGTTGTTCATAATGATGGTGATGATGATGGTGTCCCGATGATGATGTTGATTATGATGATGACGATGATTGTGTCCCGATGATGACGATTTTGATGATGAGGTTGATGATGTGATGATTATGATGTTGATGATGATGGCACGATGATGATGATGCTGATGTTGATGATGTCCCGGCGATGATGATGATGATGATGATGATGGCGATGATGATGATGGTGACGATGATAGTGTCACGATGACGATGATGTTGATGATGTTGTTCATGATGATGATGATGATGATGATGAGATGATGGTGGTGGTCCGATGATGATGATGATGATGATGGTGTCCCGATGACGATGATGTTGATGACGTTGATGATCATGATGTTGATGATGATGATGATGACGTTGATTGTGAGATCGATTGTGATATCGATAGCGAGATCGATAATGAAACCGAATGTGAGATCGATTGTGAAATCGATAGTGAGCTCGATAGTGAGATCGATTGTGAGATCCATAGTCATATCGATTATGAGATCGATCGAATGAAATAGATCGAGTAAGATCGATTGTGAGATCGACCGAGTGAGATCGATCGAGCGAAACCGATAGTGAGATCGATTGTGAGATCGATAGTGAGACCGATCGAGTGAGACGTTGGTTCCCCCCCCCCGAACCTCCTTATCACCCGAAGGGTGGTCGTATAGCTAGCCCTATAGCTCTATAGCCCTATAGCTCAATAGCCTTATAGTCCCCTAGCCCTGTAGCCCTGATTGGGTAATTTCTCCGGTATCATTATGTTTCGTATTCTTCATATTAGTATTAGTCACAGTCTTCTTCTTCTTATTCTAAGTAGCATGATTGTTCTTAGAAATAATAATATTAGTACTACTAGTAGTAATACTAAGATTACTAAAACTGATTAATGTTCCTCTTCCTCTTCCTCCTCCTCCCCCTCCTCCTCCGCCTCCGCCTCCGTCTCATCCTCCTCCTCCTCTTCCTCCTCCTCCTTCTCTTCCTCCTCCTCCTCCTCCTCCTCCGCATCCTCCTCCTCCTCCTCTTCCTTCTCCTCCTCCTCCTCCTCTACCTCCTCCTCCTCCACGTCCTCCTCCTCCTCCTCCTCTTCCTCCTCCTCTTCACTCCCCGCCCCCACCCCTCCCACCCCGTCCCCTTCCCTCCCCTCCTCCCTCTTCCCCCCCTCCCCGTGCCAGGCTTCCCGGACCCCGGGCCGGTCCTCGAGCGCGGCCCACACCTGGTCGGCCAGTCGTGCCGCCTCGGTTGGCCAACCAAGCAAGAGAGCGGTGCCACGAGGGACGGGGAGAGCGTCACCCCGTCCCCGCCTCACCTTTTGCGGGGGACGGGGGGGAGGAGGGAGGGAGGGAGGGAAAGGAGGGAGAAAAGGGAAGGGAGGGGGGGTGGAAGAGGGGAAAGAAGGGACGAGGAGAAAGGGTGGGCAGGAAGAGGAGTGATGGGGGGGAAGAACAGGGAGGAGAAAAGGAGGAGAGAGCACTCGTACTGCGTAGCTGAAATATGGAGGCTGCGAACAACAGCAGAATGCGCAAACACCTTCAGCCCGTGAAAACAACTCGCATCTTTCGTGGCGAAAATGCAACTATTTCAGCTCCTTGGGATTGTGGCCCTGCGGCAGCCACATAACTGCTAGGCCGCGGGAAACGCCGTGGCGGAAGATCCAGCATCGACCCCGCTGGCACGGGCAGGAGGAGGAATAGAAGGAGCAGGAGGACACGTGTCAACGATGTTGTACTAAACCCTCTTTCCAACTTCCAAGTTCGATTTTTCATAGTTCAAGTTCCACACAAGAACGGAAGTGCATCGCTCCTTGCGAAAAATGCCCGATTGAGAACTCATCGTCTGAGAACCCTGAACAAAATTACGACACGACTTCTGGGCCATCGACGCCGCGAATCAATATGACTGTTTGGGCCTGACAACCACAGCTTGTCTCAATATGCCACCCATGCGACTTGAGCGCCGTGGAACAACGTGACTTCTGCGTCTTGACAATCCTAGATCGCGCCAGACGCCATTTCTGGAACCTCAGCCTTAAGAGTATGAAGGACGGCTGCGGCGATAAATTACCCTGGCGACGTACCCAACCCTGGCGCAATGCGGGGCATACATCAGGATTGCTATAACGGGCGCGATGACGTAACATGGACGCAAGTGGTTTTGCGAGCAACAATCGGAAGGCTCACAGGCCCCCAGTCAAGATGTAAGGGCTATGTAATAATAACAAATCACCCCCGTTGGCTGTGCAATGCGCCCGTTCCACCCAACGCATCCCACAGCAGCTCTTGAGAGCCCCCCAGGGACAGCGAGGTCTCGCTCAGATCCCCGCGATGCCTCACTCCGCAGAACCCACCAGCAGCCCTCAAATGTGGCGACAACGTCGCAGATCGAAGCCCCCCAGGGACGGCGAGGTCCCGCTCAGATCCCCGCGGCGCCTCACTCCGCAGGACCCACCAGCAGCCCTCGAATGTGGCGACAGCGTCGCAGATCGCAGCCCCCCAGGGACGGCGAGGTCCCGGTCAGATCCCCGCGGCGCCTCACTCCGTACGACCCACCAGCAACCCTCGAAAGTGGCGACAACGTCGCAGATCGCAGCCCCCCAGGGACGGGAGGTCCCGTTCAGATCACCGCGGTGCCTCACTCCGCACGACCCACCAACAGCCCTCGAAAGTGGCGACAGCGTCGCAGATCGCAGCCCCCCAGGGACGGCGAGGTCCCGCTCAGACCCCCGCGGCGCCTCACTCCGCAGGACCCACCAGCAACCCCCGAAAGTGGCGACAGCGTCGCAGATCGCAGCCCCCCAGGGACGGGAGGTCCCGTTCAGATCCCCGCGGTGCCTCACTCCGCACGACCCACCAGCAGCCCTCGAAATTGGCGACAGCGTCGCAGATCGCAGCCCCCCAGGGACGGCGAGGTCTCGCTCAGATCCCCGCGGCGCTTCACTCCGCAGGACCCACCAGCAGCCCTCGAAAGTGGCGACAGCGTCGCAGATCGCAGCCCCCCAGGGAAGGCGAGGTCCGCACAAAGCAAAAGGAGAGGGAGACGGGAGGCGGGAGGAGGGAGACAGGAGGCGGGAGGAGGAGGAGGAGGAGGAGGAAGAGGAGAAGGAGGAGGAAAAGGACTGGAGACCGCAGTGTTCTATTCAAAACGAATACCCAAGCAAGGAGGGCTGGGAAAAAAGGAATGCGCGCGGCGCTGAGACGTGAACCACATTTTGAAATGGCGGTGCTGTCCATCTTTGAAACGGTTGCAAAAATGTAATACAACGAATGTGCGCGGCGGGACGGCGAGAGCCACATGTCTGAAAAGGCCCGCCCTCCATCCTCGAAGTTGCTGCAAGTCACAAGCTCCAGGATCATAGACGACGAGGGGTCGCAGCGAAACGCCGAGCCCGCCCTATCGACGCGTCTCGGGGCGCGACAGGGGGGACTTATTCATCAGGAAAACGGATGGAGGAGAGGGCAGTATCCCCTGCACACTGTCTATGCCCCCCCCGCCCCGTTTTACGCATGCCCCTCCCGCCCGCGTCACTTTTCTCTCCAGCCTTCGTCGCTCCACCCGTTGGGTTGGTTTCCGTGGTGTCTGCGGCCACGCTGTTGCAGGTCGACGCTGGATTGCCACTGCAGCACCTTCCAAGTCCACCTGGCGGCGTCGAGGTTGAAGACCTGTGAGGCCATGCACCATGACATGCGCGCCGGCGTCATTAACCGACCGTCGACGCGGCGGCGCGCAAGACGCGTTCCGCGCACCGCGTTGATCGCGTGATACTGTCGACGCAAATAGTGCCATGGAGTCTCCCGTCTCGCCTTCGTCGCCGTCCTCAATGTGCCCGCCCGGCGATGCAAGCGTCTCCTCCTGCGATGGGACGTCGTCGTTGGCGGTGCTGGAGCCGGAATCGTGTTTCGGCATTCCGTCGCTCACGCAATCCGCTGCCATCGCGCGACGGCCAATGTAAACAGGCAGTCCGTGGATGGTGCCTCGTCTAAGCGACATGCTGATCATGCGGAACTGCGTCGCTACGTCCGCTGTAGATATTGGCGCTGAGATTCCGCGCGCGCCACGCTTACGCGGCCAACGCCGCTGATTGGGTCACTGCGCCGTCGAAAAGATGGAATCGGGCGGCCCGTGGGCAACGCGTCGGCAAACCCCAGCTCGCGCGAACGAAGCGTCGGCCGCGCGGGCCCCGTGCGGCGGTTGATCTCCGCGCCCGTTCAATTGAGGGAGTTAACTCGGTGGCAGCGGCATTTGACGCCGCCGTCTCGCGGGGCGCTTACGATGTCCACGTCTTGGACACGCGAGGTGCGCGAGCTCGGCCCCCCCGCGCGCAGCATGATATCGGACCGAATAATGGTCTTGCCCGGGTGTAGTTCCAGCCCGTGCGATTGCGCAGCTGGCCGGGGCAGCGCCGCCGGGCATCGTCGCAATGCGCGGGGGGGCTCGGACGGCCAGGAAAACGTCGTCGGCGAAGCGCAGGTGGGTGAACGCGCGGGAGGGGGCGCGCCCAAGTTGGACGCCAGAGACTCTGCTCGGCAACGTGGCGACCATCGGCGCAATAATGTTTCGCATGAAAGGTAGCGAGCTCTTCCGCGCCTCGCTGAAAGCTGATGGGTCTGGCAGCGACGTCAGCATTCACTGTTGCTACCTGCCCCTCTGCTGGCGCTGCGATAATATCTGGCCATGCGTCGTGCCCCACCAGCGCCGCCCACATGCCCGCGCACTACACTGGATCGACAGGCTTCTTGACGCCGACCGCAGCTACCAAAACGTGTTGGTTCCGCTCTTTCGCGCGCCACAGTGGGATGTGGACTGCGAACAAATGGTTCACTGTCGCATAGCATGGTCGGCAACCAAATTGGCCACCAGCCCGTTGAGAGTTGAATGCCGGTTGGAGCCGGCAGGTGGACGGCAGTGCTAGACCCCTGTCGCTGGATGCCACGGCGACCACCACGCATGCCAAACAATCCCGCAGCGGCGCGTCGAGCCTGATGGCGCCGCGCAGGTTCACGCGCGCGCATCGGCGACTCGGCGTTTTTGCGCGCGCATCTCTGCTCGAAAAACCATGGCGCCGGGGGCTTTGCCAAGCCAGAGACCTCGCGTCGCTTTCGCCACCTCGGCCATTGCGACAGCGTCGCCGATGACAGCGTCGCTGATGTCATGGGCCTCGGAGCAGTAAGTGACCCCGAAGGAGCGCGGGGACTTGGAACAGTAGACGGAGTAGAGAACCTCGGAGCAGCAGAGCGCGTCGGAAGAGTGGAGATATCACGGCGGGACTGAAAATCCACCCCACCGTGCGCGTCAGCGAACGCGTGGATCCCTTCGCCATCTGCGCCACTCTGGCCGCCGCGCGGCGTCGGTCTATCAGCTCTTGGTCATGTGGCGGCCATCAACAATCTTCTTACTCGCCCGTGAAAACCCCCAGTCGCGCCTGCAACTCCCTCTCCGCGCAGGTCGGTGGCGCGAGCCTCTGATTCCACTCCGCCCGCGCCTGGGCCAGCGCGCCCACCGCGCGCGCCCTGATCTCTGGATGCACGTTGAACATCGAAGCAGCGATCCGTCTGACAGAACATGATCATACCGCAGCGTGCGGCCGTGTCCCAGCTCGTCGATCACCCGTCGCAACTCGGCCAACTTCCGGGCGCTCGCCGCGCCTGCCGCTTCCTTCCGCTGCAGACAGGGAGGCGGCCAGGAGGCCTCCGAAGACCCAGACAGGAAGGGATCCGCGTTTGCGGCCCTTCTCTGGACTCGGCGACGGCCTCGCTGCATCTCGCTCCTCGCGAGCACGCGCGCGCGAGCTCCAGGCCGTTCCCCTCGAGCAACAAGTAATCGAACAGGCCGAGCTGGAGCGGGAACTGGAGCACGACGGCCTGCAAGGCGCGTCGTCCGCCCTTGAGTCCGAGGTCCGTCTTCGCCGTCTGTGCATCTCCTTTTGCTAGCACGCGGCGCCGCTGCCCTGCGGGCGCCGCCGGCGCGCCCTCCTGTGGCCGCATGGCGCCGGCGAGGCGCCGCACGCCGATCGGGGCCTTTCGGGCTCCGGCGCGAGCCTCGAAAAAAATGGCAGCGGGCGGAGGGGGCGAGGAAAATACAGTTAAACGGCATGCTCGTTATTATCTGACCTCGAGTCGAAATCCAAGCTGAAATACTGGCACTGCCATTGCCTCGGCGATTGCAGGGCCCATTTGAACGTCGTTCCTCCCATTCGGCACGCGCGACTTTCCCGCGCTGCGCGCACGCGCTGTCTAACGC